AAATGGTCAAGATTAAGTTCAGTTGCACATAATAGAAGGGATTCATACAGCAATTTAATCACAATGGAAATTTACTTTTTCCTGTCAAAAGCAAGTTAGGGTGTAAAAATGTTAAGGTTGTTACATTGGCTGTGTGATGTCATTAGAGACCTGGATTCATCCTCTGAAGCTGGCTTTCAATGACAATGTTGCTTTATGGTCCAACATGGTTATTATTCCTACAAACATTATTTCTCTATTCTGAGCCAGCAATAGGAGGAGGCAACAGAGAACAAAAGGACCATTCTCCTGCCTGAATCAGTTTTTTTTTTCCTCTCACATTTCTGCTTAGAACTTATATATGAGAATATGTGGTACTACAGCAGTCACAGGGGCACAGGCAGCTGCAAGTAGACCAGAAACTGGGGACTTGTAGTAATAAACACTGCCACTGTAAATACATTGATTTCCTATCAGCAAATAAAAAGAGGAAGATGGATTTTGTCAATTAGCAACTTTGTCATGACCAAATAAGGATTTGCAGAATATCAATATACCTTATCTATAAGAAATCTACTTTCTCTTCCAGATGTTGTAATTAAAAATTGAGAATAATGCTACAAAAAGTACAATTATTTATGTAGGTCCCAAAAGTGACCACGTGGAGAGGAGTGATCTGGCCAAGCGATTCTTTATTGCCCGGTGGGAGAGGGAGAGAGCCAAGAGAAAGACAGAGAAGGGCAGGGGCTTAAATACCCCTCAGTGAGACTTGACACGATCTGATTGGTTAGGATCTTATGGTTCATGCCGATTGGAGGTTGGGGCAGAAGGAGGGTTCAAGCTAGACTTGAGGCAGGACTGTGACCCTGGAAAACAGAATCTTAAGGGTGCAGTAAGAACCAAAACCTATCGGCGCCATTATTGCCAACAATTTAAGTTAAAGACATTTAATATAAAGCAATTGTCTTCATTAATAGATTTTGAGTGAGGATTCCAGACTAAGGATAGTTAAAAATATTAATATCCATGGCTTTGGAATTATTTGGGAGGAGGGAGTAGCTATTCCTATGTGAAGGAAAGCAGGGTAGGGCTGTTAGAAATTTGTTATAATTTGCTGTTTAGTGGAGTTATTAGGATGAGCTTGAAAAAAAGGCAGAGTGATTTAAAGTAGAAATTAGAAAGTGGTTAAAAAAATACAGACTCAAATGAATACCTAAGAATTATAGAGATCTTTAGTCTTCAAGGAAAAAAAATATGACCCAATATTGCTGACAAAAATCAAAAATAAATCTGTTATTGAACAATGGTACAAGGATTGTAAAATTGAAAAACAATTATCTAAAAACTTCAAGCAAAACCCTTGGTATTATCTGAATTATTAGAATAATTGAACTGAAAGTAGAATTTCTGCGTGGATTATTTAGATAATTGTCTCATTTCTAAAATTCATTTGGCTGGTAGAGAGCTTTCTATAGTATGTATTTGGGAAATAGTAAATGCTGGAAAAAGCAGAGTCCTAAATTAAGTAGACTGGTTGTGGTGGAGTGATGAAGTGAGAGAAAAAGAAGGAGAAGGAGGAGGAGGAAGAGAAGAAGAAGGCAGGAAAAATAACAAGCTGATTATCACAACAAAATTAAAATTTTCTCTCTATTGGCAATAACTAACCTCCACATTTTCAACATAGAATGAACTTAGGAAAGGGGAAATACATATGGATTTGAAATATGTCCAACAGTGATTTTTAAAGTTATAAATTCCATTTTAATGTTTTGTTTTTAATTCTTTTTTACTTTTGTAATGGGGATGGAACCTGCTTGCTAGGCAAGCACTCTACCACTAACTTACATCCTGATCCCATAATTTTTTTTTAAGCTTCAAAAAAGAAAGAACATTTTCCTTTCTAAAGTTTAGAAACTTAGTGCTCCAAATCCAGCCATCAAATTTATGTAGTTAATCAAGAAAATTGACTTAAACATTATACTTAAAATATTTTGTTATGCTTTAAATCTTGTTAGTCTTTGCTTTTTGATCCTTTTTAAAAAATTTTTTTATTATTCATTTATTCACATGTGCGTATATTGTTTGGGTCATTTCTCCCCCCTGCCCCCCTCCCCCACCTTCTCTCTCCTCCTCCCCTCACTTCCAGGCAGAACCTGTTCTGCCCTTCTCTCTAATTTTGTTGAAGAGAAGACATAAGCATAATAAGGAAGACAAAGGTTTTTGCTAGTTGAGTTAAGGACAGCTATACAGAGAGATTCCTAGCATTGCTTTCATGTACAAATGTGTTACAACCCAAGTTGATTCACCTCTAACTGATCTTTACACTGGTTCCTGACTTAAAGACAAAGAAAAGGATAATCACATCCGAGTTACTACTTCATTCTCTTCATTGGTAAACGAAGCCCCTTGGGCTATGAGCCCAGCTATAAAAGTATTTGCCACCTTTCCTACTGGTCAGTGTGTTCTGTTACTAAATTCTGTCCCATCACTCACAGTGTGGTGTGAGACTTCTGGATATGATGCTTCCTGCTTTTCTGGACAACTTCTGACCTATAATGCAAACAAGATGTCTAGGTCTCCAGCAGCCATCTTGGACCAAGGGGCAACCTAAATTTCTATATCTATGCAATGGCCACTTTCTCCCTCTCGTTCACACGCGCACACACACACACACACACACACACACACACAAACACATATACACACACTCTCCAATTTTTGAGGAACAAAACTAAGTGGTTATGTGATGTTGTACCCAAATTACATTTTATGCAATTTGCAAATGATAACAATTCTGCAGTGGGACCTGTGGGAAGATAAAACCTTGAGCATTGCTTTGGTTTTTTTCAGTGTCCATAATACACTAAACAAACAAAACAAACCATAAAACTCTTGGAAAATTTAACTTTTTAGCTATTTTTACCTTATCTTTTGCAGACTTAGCTAAAAATGTATTATGTTATTGACAGCAAGAGGGAGGAAAGATCAATGTATCCATTTCTCCCCATCTTTCAAGATCAAGCTCTTTGATGAACCCCCTCATGGATCCTCCCCACAGTGGGAATTAACCTACATTCTTTATACATTTACTAAGGTATAGTGAGTAAGGTATTTGTTTTAGATTAAAAAAAAGTTTAAAGGAGGTCCTCAAAAACTCAGTCATCAAGATAAACCTTTTAGTGGAATAATTTAATTGGCACACTATGGGGTATGGGCCAGTGCCTTGTGTTTGTGAATAATTTTTAAATTATACTTTGCTCTTATCTCTATTATAACATTCAGATAGTACTGTTTATAAAAGTCCTCTCCCAGAGGACTTCTTTGTCATTTTTGTGTTCCTCATGTGTCTAGTGTCCTATTTTAAGCAAAAGATCGCTTAAAAAATTTAAATTGACTTGATGACAGGATTTTTGCATTAATCTACTAAAGGAGGGACAATGAGATTAAGTTTCATTGTTAAATTCTATTTAGCAAAAGAATAACAGAGAATGATGATTATTTTAAAAGTACTTACAATTTAGAACTTTGGGAAAATCATCTGGTTTCTTTTTCACTAAATCCCTGCCTGAGCCTTAGGAAGTAGAGAACTGTAATACTATCTATATAGCACTTTGCCTTGATGCTCACCTTAATCCTCCAAAGCAGGTATGGTTATCCTTACGTACTGTGAAGAAAGACTGAGAAGTGCAGTGACTTGCTCAAGGAGTTTCAGGCAGAAACTCCCCTGATCTTCTCTAGCCAAAATCCAATGCCTTCTAGCTCCTACAAACATAATGTCACAGTGTTGACTGAGGAGAAAAAAATACACAGAGCAAGTACAGAAGCATCTTGTGTTTATGAAACAATGTAGGCAGCACCCAAATAGTATTTTACCAAGCATTCTTGTTAGTATTAAAATGTTCTGACTCTGTGTGTGTGTGTGTGTGTGTGTGTGATGAAGTAATTCAACTCTTCAGGCATAGGACTGAGTATGGTATTTTTTGGAATGAGGAAATTGTGTATTATTTGAGTATTAGTTTTTAATTATAGCTTTAAATTAATGTCTATATAACACTTTGCAAAGCAGAAAGAATTTACTTCTTTATGAAAAATATATGGGGATGTTTGAGTTTTTCACTGAAAAAGATTATTGTGAAATATAATTATAGTATTCAAGAGTTAGGAATTGATGAAGTTTAGTAGTTTTCTTTTCATACTTAAGAAAAAAAATCTATGACTATATTTTAAAATTCTGCTATATCCATTAAATTTGCTTGAGAGCCTATAACTACTTCACATATAACTTCAGCCCGCATCTAATAAACACATAACCAAAACCCCAAATGTGCATTATTAGCCAATCTAATACAAGATTTCTTATGAAAATTATGAATTCACCCCGTTTGATTGCTGCTGCCCCGAGAATTAAAAACAATACTCTTATCTTCTTTTCCTAAGCTGAGAACTTAGTTCCAAAGAAAATCTCTCTCAAGAGCAACCAGTCCTTTAAGAGGTTCAAAGCCCATCAATTCGGTGAACTGCAATGGGTCATCAATAACTATTGAATGTCCATAGGGCAGTTAGGCACTGAAATAGTAAATCGACTTATTTGCATCGTCCAGAGTTTCCAAGGAGAGCCTGAAGATTTGCAAAGGTCTCTGGAGATGGTGTAGTGTGTACGTCTCCATTGAAACTATCCCTAATGTGCATGCACTGAAGGGGCTGGGTTGCACAGCTCCAAGGTTTCTAACCCCGCTTTGTAAGCGAAGACCCCATTGGGTGGCAAGCGACAAGGGGGCTAGGGGAAGAGGGTCACACCCTGGCCTCATGGGGGACCTTAGAACTGGCCAAGCCGTCCTATCCTTTTGCAGAAGCAGGGCCGACCCCCACCCCACTCTCTGGGCTTCTCCTTCCCCCTCCCCTCGCGCCCCGCCCCGCCCCCACCCGGCTCTCACGGTCTCCCAGTCGCCCAGCCTCGGCCAGTTCTCGCGAGATCCGGGCAGCTGAGCGCTCGGGGCCTTTTCAAATCGGGATCCGTTACCGCTTCCCTGGCCGCCGCCATTGTCGCGCTCGGAGCCCCTCAGCGCCGGCGGCCGAGGCGAAGCCAGTGGCGGCGGGATGGCAGACGCCAACAAGCCCGAAGTGGTCGCGGCGACAGGCGACCACAGCCCGCACCGGCAGCCCGCGGAGCCTCCGGGCGAGCCGCGGCGGGAGCCACCGCCCCCGGATCCGGAGAAGCAGCCGCCTCAGCACAGCAGCAGCTCCAACGGCGTTAAAATGTATTGTCTTTTCCTCCCGGGACGCGACCGGGGCGAGGTGGGGGGCGGGGGTCGGCACGGGGCCCCGGCGGGGACACCTCACCCCCCCACCTTCTTTCCTTCCTTCCTCGGCCCCCCAGGCCATGGCGGCGTGAGGAGCAGGTGCAGCCGGCGTCCGGAGGCCCGGAGCCCCGGCACGGTAGGGGGTCGGCGCCCCTCGGCTGTTTCTATCCCGGGGCACCCCCTCTTCCCTGAAGAGCCTTTGGCAAAGCTCGACCACCGCCGCGGGGCGCAGAAAAAATGGTCCCCTTTTTGCAAGGCCCGGAGTTAGTGTTCATCACTAGGGAGTATCTAGGGATGACGTCATCCGACATTTCCTCTTCTCCATGGAGCACGCGAGGCAAAGCAACCATCCCGACCCGCCGGTCCGGTTCTGAGCTTTTACACCGTCACAGTTTTTCACGTACGGAAGTGTAAATGCATTTCCGAAGTGATACTTGCAGAGAGGAAGTTGAATACTGCGCTCTTAGACCCAATCCATTGTGTGACCCTTGAGTTAATGGCTAGAGGTCCTTGAAAAGGGGAAATGCACTTCCCTACCCACCTGGTGATGTTCGTCAGCTGTGCAGGCTATTTTAAATCAGATTCAGTGTATGGATGGCCTTGGTTTGGGTGTAATAGCAAAACTGATATATATATATTTTTTTGGTGGTACTGGGGGACTCGAACCCAGGGTCTCCAGCGTGCTAGGCAAGCACTGCACTCCTGAATTACACCCCTCCCCCAGCCCTTAAAATAAGATGTTTTCAGTTGAAGAAGATCTACTACTTAAAAGTCGCATCTGTCATCAGTGCCTATAAAGAATCGAGTTGCCTCAAGTCTGTAACAATTTCAGGTATAAGGAAGTGTGATAGAGACATACTATGCTCACTTTTATTCTTGTCATGTGGGGTGACATGAAGTCCAACATTTATTTTCATGTGCCCAGCTCCTTAAACCTGAAGTTGAAAGTGTGTTAATAATTTAGTGAAGGCACGGACTTCCTTCTCAGTTCTAACTCTTAGTAGAACACATGGTCGTGTTATCACAACCTTCTTTCTTCCCTTTCTCTTGTGTGAAAATCTTTGAGACAGTGTAGCACAACTTGGACCAGTCTGTTTAAAGGTTGATTATAGATTAGATGGGGTAGCCGGCTCCCCAGCTTCATTGTGGAAGTCTTGTTCTACAGTGGGTGGGAATAGGCACCATCTTCTAAGCAGGATGGCAGGTGTAAGAGATTGGAACTCCTCACAGTTTGTTCCTGGATGGAAAGCGTGCGTGCACCACAGCAATTGAGAATCAGAAAGTGAGTAAAATGCTTTCTACCATGCCTGCCAAAATGTGGGCTCTTAGGGATTTGGCATTAAAAATAGAAATGAAAAACAGTGGAATGATAAACTTAAAAATATAGTCAGCCCTCCCTATCTTTGGGTTCTTCATCCCTGGGTTTAACCAACTGTGAATTGAAAATACTCCCCTTCAAAAATAATCCTGTCTGTGTTGAACATATATAGTATAACAGTTACTTACATAACATGTACTTTGTGTTAGGTATCACAGGTAATGGAGATGATGATTTAAAGTATACATGAGCTTGGGAGGGTGTGGTTAGGTTAATATGCAAATGCTATATCATTTTATCTGCGGGACTTGAGCATCTCTGGGCTTTTTTCTGCCATGAGCAGGGTCCTGGAGCCAAACCTTGTGAATACTGAGGGATGACTGGTATGTGCCATTAATTACTGTCTACACATGGGTGTGTCACCTTTTCTCTTTTTTAGAGGGGGAGGTTGGGATTGGGTTCACAGTTCTTCATATTTGCAGAGCAGGTACTCTACTGTTTGAGTCACACTTCCAGCTCTGACCGCTTTTCTTTTGAATTACAGAGAAAAGCCCTACACTTGTGTATGATTGGCATAGTGTTGGTGCAGGCAAGCTGGTATATAAACCTTCTCAGATCTAAAAGCCTTTAATCTCGTGGTAGGACAGTAAAAGAGAGGAGGTGAGAAAAGAACCTCCTTTTCTACTTTAGGAAGGTAAAGAAATGGAGAAATGTTAGTAGCAAACATGGATTCTTTCCACAGTACTTCTAATTTATTTTTCTAACTTCCTCTTTTCCCTTAGATTGAGTAGAAATCAACTTACTCTAAGGGATTTTTGTTCTGTCTGTTTCATAAGTGTACATAAGTGAGTGGCATGGGCCACTCACACTGAATAACTAGAGCCTTATATCTTATTTAACCCATGAACTGGTAAGAGTAGTTAATAACCCCAAGACAAACTTTGGGCTGATTACATATGTTTCTATTGGTAAGAATTCATTGTGTTGATGATAAAAATGACCAGGTGTTTTGTTACTGTGTGTATCTATATGTATATATACGTGAGTAGAGAGTTGCTTGTCACTGGAATTGAAATGACTTCTGAGGTTAATTCATAGTCGTCGAGGCAGAGATCACTGTCTTACTCATCTTTGTACCTCAAGGCCATACATTTAAAAAGGTTCAGTAAATATGTGTTGAAGGAATGCAGAAGTGAACTTTTTTGATCATGAGACTCATATACAAAGGACTTTGTCGACATGTTCACATCCTTAGGCTAAAATTTAGGCAAGTTTCCCTTGTGTACTCTTCTGTGTCAAAATGGCACCTCACCTCTTCCTATTCTTAAAAATGAACTGGAGGGCAACAACAGTATTGTTAAAACTCTTCATTATTAATGTATGATTAAGTAAAACCTTAAAGAATATGGAGGATGATATTTATATTAGGGTACTTATAAGATATTAAGCATTTGGGATAAGGTGAAGTATTTGCTAGTAGTGATTTTACCATATTATGAATAAAGACGAGCGGAGATTAATGTTTTTCCTCAACTTCATTGAAGTGTAATTGAAAAAAATATATATTTAAGGCATATAATGTGATGCCTTGATTTGCTGTGGATACATTGTGAAATGATTGCCACAGTCAAGTTAATTAACATACCCATGTAACTGGTCTTTTTTTGTGTCTGGTGAGAATACTTGTGATTTACTCTCAACAGATTTTAAGTATACAGTGAGTGCTGTAGCGACGGTATTATAGATTTATAACTGAAAGTTATAAATTTCCTCTCACCTCTGACTTCTGGTAGCTGTCTCTCCACTCTCTGCTTCATGAGTTTCACATTTTAGATTCCACATATAAGTACTATCATGCAGTGTTTGTCTTTGTTGCCTTATTTGGCATAATGTCCTCCAGGTTCATCTAGGATGCTGCAGATGACAAGATTTCCTTCTTTTTTAAGGATGAATAATGTTCCATTGTGTGTGTATGTGTGTATGTATGTATTCAAACACACCCACAATTTCTTTAACCATTCACCTGTCAGACAGTTAGATTATTTATGTATCTTGGCTATTGTGAATGGTGCAGTGAACGTGAGAATACAGGTGGTGATTTTATTTCCTTTGTATAAATATCAGAAGTAGATTTCTAGGTCATATGATCTGTGTTTTGAGAAAGCTTCATACAGTTTTTCCATAATGGCTGTACCAACGCATATTCCTACCAAGTGTGTACAGGACTTCTCTTGTTTTAATATCCTTGCTATCGCTAGTCTTGTTTTGACACTTTGATAATAAATAGCCATCCTGGACCTTCAGTGATCTTGAGTACTTTTTCATATACCTGTTGGCCATTTGTATGCCTTCTTAGGAAAAAATACCTGTTTAGGTCTCTTTATATTTTTAAATATTTTTGCTTTTGTTTTACTTTTTTGCTGTTGAGTTGTATGAATTCCTTATGTGTTTTTGATATTATTGCTTTACTGGATATATGGTTTGAAAGTATTTTCTTGCATTCTGTAGGTTTCCTTTTCATTGTGTTGATTCTTTGCTGTGTAGGAACTTTTTAGTTTGACATGGTCCATTTATTTATTGTTATTTTTATTGCCTATGTGCTTTTGGTGTCATATCCAAAAAAATGGTTGCCAAGACAAGTGTCATGGGGTTTTTGTTCTGTGGCTCCCCCTTCCTCCCAGTCCCAGGACTTATGTTTTGTTTAAATCTTTAATCCAGTTGTGTTTGAATTTTGTGTGTGTTGTAAGATAAGGGTTCAGTTTCTTTTTTTTTTTTTTTTGCATGTAGATACCTAGTTTTCCCAACACGATTTATTGAAGACACTGTCCTTTTCCTGTTGTATATTCTTGGCACTTTTGTCAAAGATTAACTGTATATGTTTGATAAAGTTCTGGTTTTCTGTTCTGGCCCATTGATCTTTGTTCATATACCAGTACTGTATTGTTTTGATTACTATGGCTTTGTAATATAATTTGAAATCCGGAAGTGTGATGACTCCACCTTTGTTCTTGTTCAGGATTGCTTTATTTATTTGGTTTCTTCTCTAGTTTTTTTTTGGGGGGGGGAGGATGTACTGGGATTTGAACTCAGGATCTTGTGCTTGCTGGCAAGTACTCTCCCACTTGAGCCAGCCGTAGTGCCACTGGACCTTTGATTGGGTTTCCATTGAATTGATAAGTCATTTTTAATTTTTATTTGTATATAATAGTTGTACAGGGTGTTTTGTTGTGACATTTCCATATATGTGTATCCCCTTCATTATTCTTCCTCTTTCTTCCTACCTCTTCTTAAAATGACTTTGACAGGTTTCAACATTACATATTCATACATGTACAGAAAATACATGAGATAGGTCATTTTGGGTAATATGAGTATTTTGATAACATTAATTCTTGTCTATAAACGCAGAATATCTTTCCATTTATTTGTGCCATCTTTAGGTTCTTTCATTGTTTCATAGTTTCAGTGTTTTTCATATCCTTAATCAAATTTATTCCCAGGTATTTATTTTTTTAGATGTTATGGAAAATGGGCTTTGCTCTTACTTTAGATCATTCATGTTGGTATATAGAAACACATAAGTTTAGTATGATGATATTTTTATTATAACTTTCTCTGAATTTATAAATTTTAACAGCTTTTGGTTGACTGTTTAAAGATTACACATTATCTACTTTTACGTTTTCCTTTCGATTTGGATGCTTTTTATTTATTTTTCTTGCCTCATTGCCCTGACTAGGACTTTCAGTAATACGCTGAATAGAAGTGGTGAAAGTAGGTGTCCTTGTCTTATTCCTGATCTTAGATGTAAAGCTGTCACCTTTTCTTCATTTAGGATGAAGTTTGCAGTGGTTGTATCATATATGATCATTATTGCAATGAGGTGCCTTTCATCTATACTTAATTTATTGAGTTTTTAATCATGAAAGGATGCTGCATTTTGTTAAATGGTTTTCTGCATCTGTTGTTTTTTGAGACAGGGACTTATCATGTAGCCTATGCTGGCCTTGAACTCATGATCTTCCTGCCTCAGTCCCCTGAATACTGGGATTGTAGGTCTGCACCACCACTACTGGCTTCATTTGAGTTTTATTATCCTTCATATTGTTAGTGTGATGTGCCACATTCATTGATTTGCATGTGTTGAACCACCTTTGCATCTCTCAGACAAGTACCACTTGATCATGGTGTGCGATACTTTCAATGCTGTTTATTTCAGTTTGGTGGGATTTCATAAAAAGATTTTTACATCTGTGTTCATTAAGTTAATTCTCCTTTCTTACAGTTTCTTCATCTTTTGGACTCAAAAAATGATTTGAGAACTCTTTAGTTTTCTAAAGAGTTTGAGAAGGACTCGTATTAAATGTTTGGTAGAAGTTATTAGTGAGGCCATGAGGTCCTGGACTTTTTATTGTTGGGAGATTTTTGCTTACTGATTTCATCTCTTTTCTCATTATTAAGCAGTTCAGATTCTCTGTTTTTTTCATAATTCAGGTCTTGCGAGCTGTATGCTTCTAGGAATTTAACCATTTCTTCTAAGTCATCCAATTTGTTGGTTATAATTATTCATAGTATTCTCGTTCCATGTATTTCTGTTTTTATCAACTGTAATTTTCTAGTTTTAGGTGAGTCTTTTTTTTTCTTGGTGTCTAGCTTAATATTTGTCAATTTTATTTATCTTTCAATAAAACAACTCTGTTGGGTTTTTTCTATCATTTTTTCCAGTATATTGCATTCATCTGTGTTCTGATCCTTATTGTTTCCTTCCTTTTGTTAACTGTGGGCTTGCTTGTTCTTTCTCTAGTTCTTTTATGTTATGAAGTTAGGTCTCTTTTCCTTCATGCAGGCATTTATCACTATGAATTTCCCTCTGGTATTTTTCTTCTGGAACTGGGATTAGTTTTGGATTTCATAATAAAACATTATGCGCTTAAAATCACATATTAATTTTTTTATTTGATGTTGGATATTGATTTCAGAAATTTAAGTTACGGTTTGAGAAGACATAATTCATTGTCAGTAGCAGATAATATTTTTGAGTCTTTATTGTAAGTACATTAAGGAGTTTGCCAAAATGAGTAGTTTGAGAATTAGTACATAGTGTGGTTTTCACATTTATTTTTAAGTTTCTCTCCATAGTGTGTGTATGACATAAAATTTAGGAATTGTGTAATTATGACTTAGCTTTTTAGTAATCAGACTCCGCAGTTACTGGAGTTTGAACTCAGGGCCTCGGGCTTACTATATGGTGCTCTACCACTTGAGCCAGGCTCCCACCCCTTTTTTGCTTTATTATTTTTCAGGTATGGTCTTATGTTTTTGCTTGGACCAACCTGGACCACTTTTTTCCTACTTGCACCTTCTGAGTAGCTGGGATCACAGGTACAAACCACCACTCCCAGCTCTTTTGTTACGATGGAGTCTTACTAAGTTTTTGTTGGTCTTGTCTCAAACTCCAGTTCTTCTGATCTCTTCCTCTTGAGCAGTTGGGATTATAGGGATGAGCCGTTGTTCCTGGCCAATTTAGTGATACTTTTAATATGCTACTTCTAATTATACTTTAAGAAAACATTTAAAGAAGATACCTTTATGATATTATGGTATTTTAATGGAATGTGCCTTGTCACAATTGGTTCCATCCTGGGGGAAAATAGAAAGGGGAAGGATTCTTTATCTAGAGACTGTGTAGATATATGCTCACCTAAACAATATTCAGTTATAAATATTCATTGAATTGAGACTAAGCCTGTTCTTATGTAAATGGATTTTTAGAAGAGTTTGTTGTTATATCTGCTGTACCCAGGAAAAAATTGTGTCTGTGCCTTGTTGCTGACTGCTGTCATTTTCAGGAGTGCCATACTGTTCAGACAGGGAGTTGGACAGGAGAAGAGTCATTCTAGCTCATGCCATTCCCAATGACGAGTGAATATGCTTGACAGGGAACATGTCCCTGTTAAGGTCTTGAAAGGTGCTAAGCAAGATTGGCACTAATGATTTTCTTTGATTTTTAGCAGTCTTTCTGGCAGATAGTGGCACCATCTGTGCTCAGATGAGTATGGGTTCTTAATTGTCTATTCATTTATTCAAAAATTACTGTTTATAGTATACATGTTAAATGATGATGCTGCTGGTACCAAAGGTGATAGTTTTTGTTCTCATGATGTTTATGGCTGCATTGCTACCTGATCAGAAGAGTGGTATCTAAGAAGCTTCCTGTATCATGAAACAAGTGATGGCTTAAAAGGTGTGTGTAGCAAGGTGCTGGTGACTCACACCTGTAATACTAGCTTCTCAGGAGGCCAAGATAAGGAGGATCGTGGTTTGAAGCCAGCCTGGGCAAGAAGTTCCACGAGACCCTATCACAAAAAACCCTTCACAAAAATAGGGCTGGTGGAGTGGTTCAAGGTGAAGGCCCTGAGTTCACCTCGGTGGGGGGAGGAATAAAGTGGGTGTAGAGTACTGCAGTGTATAGACTCCAAGAATTACTTGACCTAGCAAGTAATTTATAGTCTGCATTGTGAAACCTGGTTGGTTGTCACAGTAATCCAGAGAGCTTTAAACACTTTAGCATCCTGAATGTCACTCCTGGAGATTTTTACTAATACATACTTATGAAAAATTGCATTAAAATTGATGCTTTGTTAATTAAATAATTTAAAATTCACTAGAATAACTTGTGATTTACGAGAAACCTATTATTCTGTAAAAAAGATTCTTTTTTTTTAATTGAATTTTTAAATATAAATCCAGATTCTTACAGGGTTCACCTTCAGTATATACCTACATTTTATGTATCCCCGTGTCTTACGGTTGGTTGGGTAGCATCATTTATTTTATTTTATTTTATTATTCATATGTGCATACAAGGCTTGGGTCATTTCTCCCCCCTGCTCCCACCCCCTCCCTTACCACCCACTCCACCCCCTCCCTCTCCCTCCCACCCCCTCAATACCCGGCAGAAACTATTTTGCCCTTATCTCTAATTTTGTTGAAGAGAGAGTATAAGCAATAATAGGAAGGAACAAGAGTTTTTGCTGGTTGAGATAAGGATAGCTATATAGGGAGTTGACTCGCATTGATTTCCTGTGCATGTGTGTTACCTTCTAGGTTAATTCTTTTTGATCTCCTTTTCTCTAGTTCCTGATTCCCTTTTCCTATTGGCCTCAGTTGGTTGGGTAGCATCATAATAGTTACATTACGATTAAAGTCAAGTAAATTAAATGTTTTCCAGTTAGACTTCATTATGAAGATTTATAAAATTCTGACTCATGTTGTATTTAATGACTGTACCCTTCCTCTTCCCTGTCCCCTAATTGTAGGTACTATTACTAATAAAAATGATACAGTTTTATTGTTTAAGACAAAGGAAATATTCAACGCGAAGCTACTGTGATACCTTAAGAATTTTCTATGTTTGTGAAAGTTGGGAGTAGAATAAAATTGGAGCGTCTTCTGTGAGGGTATAGATGTAGATATGTAGATGTGGCTATGTATTTTGATTCTATTTTTAAGCAAGGAAGGAGAATGTTCCTGGTAGAAACTTGTTATCTTTTAAGAGATCAACTTTTTCAGATATCTGTTTATAAATTAATTTTTAAGAGTTTTGAATGAAACCCAGAAAGTTAATTCTCTTCAGCTGCTTTGCTGAAGTCTAGCTTAGTTGAGAGTTTTGTGAAGTAAATGGTAAATATGAATTGTTTAGTAATATAGACCGTCATTCTTTAGAAGCATAACTGAGGTGGCTTTTGTTTGTTTTTTTTTTTTTAAATTCATAGGGAGAATGATGAATCAGTAAAAGAGGAGAAATCTGACTTAAAAGAAAAATCTACAGGAAATAAGAAGGCCAATCGATTTCATCCTTATTCAAAAGACAAGAATTTGGGCACTGGAGAAAAGAAGGGTCCAAATCGTAACAGAGTTTTTATTAGCAACATTCCCTATGACATGAAGTGGCAAGCCATTAAAGATCTAATGAGAGAAAAAGGTAACTATTTCTGAAAAAACACACCGTTGGATAATATTCATATAGGAAGGGAAGGAAACTAAGCAAACTTTTTTTTATATCTTAGCCACACAGACTCAAAAAAACCTGATTTTTATTTCTTGACACATGAATTAATCTTTTCATTTTCTTTCCCTTGATACAATTTCGTTGCAAAGTAGTATAGAAAAATGAATATTTTTCTTTTTGCCATTTTAGCGGGGTAGTAGCGAGCCAGCATTTGCATGCCACCAAGAATTTTGTTAAAGTGATTGCTTTGTCTAGTTGAAGTTTTTATAGATTTTTAAGGGACTATTGCATTAGTTAAGCAATATATTTAGCGTGTTAATGTATGAATAATAAGGTTTGATTATTTTTTTCCAAAAGCTGTTTTGTTATTATCTTGGTGGAGTCTGGAATCTGGCTGTGGAATTCCTTTTGTTTGCATTGTCACGACTGCCATGAATGCTGTCTTTGCAGTTATATTAAACTTGGGTTACTGCTGTTGCAGTTTTGTTTTCAGAATCATCTGAAAACCTTCATCCTATATACATGGTTGGTTTTGGGGGAAAATAATTTTAATACTTGATCTTGTAAAAGTTAGTTTAGTTATCTCTTGAAAAATTGAGTTTCAATTTTTCTGTAAATTATGTACTTGGCTTTGAGGCTGATCTCTTTTAATAAATTTTTAAAAATTGTATTGGTGTATCTGTTGTAAGGTGACAACTATTTGATTGGTTTTATTCATTGACTTTATTTAGAAAGTGTGTGGCTTGCTGTGAAGCATGACTTGTAAATTGAGTTTACTGATGGCAAATATGATTGAAGACATTCAGGTAGCAAGTCACCTTAAAACAGCTGTTGTGTGTAGGCTGACCAAAGTTACTTGAAAAGTGCTAATGTTGTTAACATGATAGGCCGAGGGACCATTTGTATGTATATGTGCATTTGTTCACCAACTATATCATGCTGGACAAAATATGATCTGTAGTATGAATTAGGTTAATACGGTTGTTAGCTTTTTTAGAGAATGTGGATGATGTACATTTCTGAAATTTAGTAAAATTTACATAGCCATTGACAGGAGGTATGTTGGTCTGGTTTTGATTGTTGGTGAATAATAGGTGCTTTTCTGTAGAGTTGTGCACAGGTGTGCAGTAAAGCAAGACACTGGTGTTTAAATGTATTGTTTCTTGGTATCTTCCTTTTGTATGTCTTATGTAGTTGGTGAGGTTACATACGTGGAGCTCTTTAAGGATGCGGAAGGAAAATCAAGGGTAAGTGCTGTGGGCCATCATCTGCCTGAGGTTTAAACGTTCCTCAGCAGTTTCCTTTCTGTATATACTTGTACCAGTTTTTGGAAACTTAAGTTTCATTTTGTTTACTTTACTATGTAAGATTTGAGGCTTTTTACTAGCAAGTCTGACACTCATGCCAACCAAACTAGCTGTCCGGAAGGGATGGGTTTTGTAAATGCTTATAAAGGGCACTCATTTTTCTAATGTTTTAAGGTAATTGTTCTTAGCCAATAAGATTTTAGTATAGGATTTTTTTTTTGTTGTATTTTGATGTCTTCAGGGATATTTTAAAAGCCACTGAATTGATTAATATTCCCCAAGAGTTTTATGAGAGGCCTGTAGCTTAAAGGTGTTAATTCAGAATGTATTTTTGAAACATTTATTGAAAAGCTTAATTTGGTAGTCTGTAGGATTACATAAGAGGCAATACTCTGACCAGTTGGTAGAATGATATTGATGATTAAATTAACATAGAAAGAATTGGTTGATAATAGTTTGAATTTTAGCTTTAAAGAGTACAATGTACTGAAGAATATAATGGAAAGCTCTTAACAATATTTCCTTATATTAGCAAAACCAAGTTGGGTATGTGAGAAATAAAATCTGTCATCACATCTAAATGCCATTATGAATAGTAACTGTAGGCAATTATTTTTAAAAACTATCCTACAAGTTTCTCTAGCATAGGTGATTTTTTTTTTTTTTTACATACTTTCAACTGGATGCTATTCAATTAGGTGCAGCCAGTTTTAGCCTGTAGAGAACTTAATTAAAATAAAATTATTTATTTGCTATTTCGGTTAGAGTTGCAAAATATGTGCACAATATGTCTTTTGAATATACTTGTAAGTGTAAGGACCAGGCGGAAGGGAGCCTATAATTTCTTCCTTGAATTACTATTGATTGAATTTGTGCAGTCATACTATTTTTAACTTTTAAGAAAGTCATCTAAAAGTAAAAATGTGTTCCAAGGTTGTCACATACTAGATTCTACTATTTTAAATAGATGGATTAAAAAATTTACAGAAAATTTATGGTCACTTGCCTGTTATGTTCTCAGGTTATAAAAGACAAAAAATGTTTGTATTATCACTTTCAATGACTTGAATGTTAGAATCTATCATTAACTTCATCTACTGATCTAAAACTTTTTTTCTTTTGCATGTATTGACAAATCTACGTGGATGTAGGGTTGTGGGTAAGAATTCTTTTTTTTTTATGGATCTTAAGTCAAATTAAACTTCAGGTTGCAAAAAAAATCTTAGTACATTAAACATTTCTTATACATTTTTTTTCCATTAAGTGTGGTTGAGTTTAAAGATGAAGAATTTGTAAAGAAAGCATTAGAAACTATGAACAAATATGATCTTAGTGGAAGACCTCTGAATATTAAGGAGGTAAGATTTCTTTTGTTTGGAATTTTTTAACTTAGAAGGCCATGCTTTCTTTGGATTTTCGTCTGACAACAACTTTAAAGCATAGATGCTTATTAAAGCATGGCATATTAATGATGATTTTACTTGTCCGTGATTTCCTATTTGTTCTTAAGCAGTTATTCTTTATATTTAATTTATTCTGAATTGTTACAGGGGTGCATAATTAAAAAAAAAAATCAGGACCCAGAAATTTAAAGATGACACTCTTTAGGTGCTGTAGAATTGTAGTACTCTAAATAGGTTGACAAAAGATCGATCAGGGCTGGACAAGGTGGCTCATGCCTGTAATCTCAGCTGTGAGGGATCCACTCCAGTTGTGATGTAATACCCTACCTGAAAGACAGTTAAAGTAAAAAGGGCTATGGGGTTCACTCAAATGGTAGAGGGCCTGCCTAGCAAGCCTGAGGCCCCAAGTTCAAACCCCAGTACTGCCAAAAAAAAGAATAATCAGGATTGTAAAACAAACAAAAAACTACTTAGAGTTAGGTATAATTGACCTTGGGAATAATTAACTAGAATAGCATCCATTTTCATTACCTCCTTTATTTTTTGTGATTAAGCTTATCCCAGTAGTTTGATTGCAGACCACTTATTTACATGTTCTTGCTTAAGTCTGTTAAAAGCCTCTAAAGATCTCTAATGATAGTGATGCTAATTGATGGTTGACATTCAACAGGATAGTAGTGGTTTGAGTTCCAGACACGGGACTGTGCATGTTACTAAACTTGTCTAAACCACAGTAATCACAGTAATACTAATAATACTTACCTAATAGGGTTGGTATAACGATTAAATGAGATACACAGTATAGAACACAGACTCTGGTATTACAAAATCTTGGGTGATCAAAGGCAAATTACTTAACCTTTATGTTTCTTTCTTTCTTTATCACTAAAATAAGAATAATATTAGAACCTACCTGATAAATGTTATAAGGACTCAGTTAATATATGTGAACTGCTTAATTAATGCTAGCTATTTATTATACTTGTGACATCATTATATAAAGCCCTAGCACAGTGCTCAAAGTATTGTAACTGTGTAATAAATGTTAGCTGTAAAAATAATAATTATTATTATTTCTGTTCATGGGTTGTTGGTTTCTTGTTCTTAAGTATGATAATAACTTGAAATGAAAGGCCTTACTGCCAAAATGTATGTGTAAGTTTCCAAATTCCTCTGTGTTTGAACTTGAAGGTTATTGTTATTTTAAAAATAACTTTGACAGGGGTATGGAGAATTGGTAGAGAAAATTTAGACTGTAGTTTATGCCAGCTATCTATTTGGTGGCCTTTCTGCCTAAGCTAGGACCAATACTTCAGAAATGTGTTGACATTTTAAATAATTTTCTTCAATTTGTAATCCTCAAATTATTTCATGAATTATAATTTGCTACTTTATTTTCCTATTTATTTTTAAAGGATGAGTGTTTAAAGTCTACGTGGAGACACTATACATTAAGAACATCAATATATTGTCTTTCTATTTTTAATTGAAAAAAATTATTGAGTGCTAAAGGCCAAAGCCATGTAATCAGGGCTCTTAAATTTTAGCACATTGTAGATCCTTAATACATTGCAGATACCCTAGAGTTACTTGAGCCGAGGTAGTATGGGATGCCTCCATTTTTAACTTTTTTTAAGAGAAAGAAATGGCTAAATTTGGCCTCAGTAAATAAATGAGGAATTTATCTTATTAACTGTCTTTTGGGTTAAGAATATTAAAGGCAGCCCCTTTTCTGGGAATATCTGATTTACAAATGGGTGACTGGCATGCATGCTTAGAACTGCTACTGCGATGGACATCTCAAGGAAAGTATATATCCAGTGTTCTTTAACAGATACTTTGATAATTTTTTCCTTGATAATGTTTATTTCTTTACCTTTTAATCCTTTTTATTTCTTCATAGTGAAGAAATACATTGGAAGTCAGAACACTTATTTTTGCATTCATCCTTTTACCATATTTGCAGACATCCTAGAGAATTCATTAAAATCATCCAATTTTTTTGTTTAATGTGTATTTCCAGACTAAAGCCAGCAAAGTAGAGTTGATGATTTACTTATACTGTGATCACTTGGCATTGCAGATGATACTCTGTCCATGTGTTATATGGTTTTGTATGTGTGTGTGGTTTTATCTTTTTATTTTTACTATTTTTTGCATTTCACCTAGTGGGATAATTGAGAAGTACATTTAAACTTGCTTTTTGGTTTTGTTTAGTGATGGAATATTTCTATTATAAAATTAATGAGCTTAAATAATGTTTCCTATAACACTTCACTTGGATATTTATCCTTCCTTCATCTCTCCCCTGCTTCCATCTCAGATTATAATCACTGTTGAGGAAGGTAAGAAGGAGGATAATTGCATTTTGTTCAGGAATGAAATTTATTGATTGCAATAAAACTCCCTCAACCCCAATATTCTTGGGTTTATAACAGTCTCTTTCACTATTGGAAAGCTTTGAATTAATCTCCATTTGACATTTTACTGGGCATACAGTGGTGAGAATTCACCATGACAGCATTTTAGAAAGGGTCACAGTACGTGTTTTGTTCTTCTTTACGTGCAGTGTTTGTATGCTCACAGGCATGAGGGTGAATTTGAACTAATTTCAAGTTCTTAAGTGACTTTAGTGAATGGAAAAGGTATTTGGTGGATATCCTTGGAGACTGACATCTTTTATCTATCCACTGGTTTTTTCCGGAACTAAATACTGTGGATGAGAAAAATATGAAAATCTCACTCCTCAAGAGGGTCAGTAATTTAAGCCCAATGGATTACCTACTGTAGAATTTGACATTGTTATTTTAATTATATAGATTTAATGATGTATTTAGTGGCATTTAACATTCAATATGTGTTACAGGATCCTGATGGCGAAAATGCTCGTAGGGCATTGCAACGAACAGGAGCATCATTTCCAGGAGGACATGTTCCGGATATGGGATCGGGGTTGATGAATTTGCCACCTTCCATTCTTAATAATCCAAATATTCCTCCTGAGGTTATCAGTAATTTACAGGCTGGTAGGCTTGGTTCCACAATTTTTGTTGCTAATGTAAGTTTAAGCTTTGGTCTAAAAATTTTATTGTTCACATACTTGGCTTTAATCATGACATTGTTTAATTAGGCTTAATTAATTGGGTTATTGATTTCTAGAACATTTTCTTATTTTTAACTTAAGTAAGTTAAATTGTAATTATTTGAAACTCAAACCCAATTTAAATTGTAAGTAAAATTGTAATTATTTGAAACTCAAACCCAATTTAAATTGTATATATGAGGTTAGGGTCTAAATACAACTATTTAGAATTTTAAAAACAACTGTGGAATTTATAAACATTTGAGAAGTTCTTGAAATTATTTACTCTATATGGATTTTTGTTTATACTGGTAAATGTTTTTCATTCTTACAGCCTTGATATTTGTGTATGTGCATGTTGAGGTTAATTTGTCTTTTTCTCCTAAGCTCTTGAAAGTCAGTGAAATGACCAGTACTTTCTAAAATGGGAGTTTCTATTAGTAAAAATAGATGTATAACTTCAAATGTACAGGATGGAGCAGTTGAGAGATAATTTGGGGAATTAAAAAAAGTGAGGATAAGGAACAATATGGAAGTAACTGAACCGATTTAAACAACGTAAAATGTTTGTTACTTGAACATTATTGGTGTATAATGTTGAACAAGAATTCTAGTTCTTCATAGTTTTGAGAGTGTAAAGGATTCTTTTGTATTTATGAGTGGGGAAAGGGATTTATTAGGCATGTAACTTTATACAATTATGTGTTAAGCTTGACTTCAAGGTTGGATGGAAGAAGCTAAAGGAGGTGTTCAGCATAGCAGGAACTGTAAAGCGGGCAGACATTAAGGAAGACAAAGACGGCAAGAGCAGAGGAATGGGCACTGTGACTTTCGAGCAAGCAATTGAAGCAGTTCAAGCAATTTGTATCCTGATGTATTTTTTTTAGCATTACTTAATGCTAAAGTAATGTGTTAAGAAGCTTAATGATACCACTTTGTGAGGGTCGTGGAATTTAAGGTTGCTTAGTTTAGAAACAAATAATAGATTTTAGTCTCTGGCATATAAAACCTTTACTGTGTCAAGTACTAAAGTAACTCTCACGCTTGAATTAGACATATTGTCCAGGGCCAAAAAGTATGAACTTTTTTTACTCTCCATTCCTACTACAATTAATGGTATGCAGACATGCTTTTGACTGTCATTCCGTTGTGCATTGCTTTAAATGAGTCTTCTTATTTGTTTCTTCAGTGATTGAATTAAAACAGTATCTTTTTTAAGATAAAGCTAAAACAAGTTACAGAGTTTTCTTTCATCAAATGGAAGAGACTAGTACAAGTAAATGCTAAAGATGCTTAAATACTAGAGATAGAGCCTCCTTTCATTAAGATAATTAGTTTGTGTTCAGTATAATTTTATTGTCATCTTAGGTGACTTTCCTTGACCGAACCAACAGCTATGTTCAATGGGCAGTTTTTATTTGATAGACCTATGCATGTGAAAATGGTGAGTTCAACTCTCCAACCTCTTCAAATCTCTTATTTCCCGTTTTCAATATTACAGTTCTTTTAAGAAAGATATTAATTGTATAACGAACCTTTTTGCAATTAGGATGACAAGTCTGTGCCTCATGAAGACTACCGTTCTCATGATAGTAAAACACCACAGTTACCACGTAAGTAAAAGCTATCATTAAAAACGACAGTCTGTTCTTTTTCAGTTTTATTACATGCTAAGCAAAATTCTTACATTTGTGCCTATATCCAAATTGTTCAAAGTTTTGGGATTAGTTTGGAGTTTTGGAGAGTTTGTTGCTATTGATTAGGAAGACTACAGAGATCAAGGTGTCTTTTTTGTTGTTAGTTTTTCTTAACTAAAGAGGCTGTACATACTAAAATATTTGTAAATTCATACAAGTGAATTTACACCCTCTGTAGGTAACAACCACCATAGCATTGTTGTATATTTTCTTCTAATCTTTCCTTCTATGTGTACAGGTTTTTACATAGTTGAGAACTATTGTATAAATACTTTGGGGTTTGTTTTGGCTTCATAGTAAATTATAAACACTTTTCTAAGATGAAGGTTTTTCCAAATACTTTTATTGGCTTTATGATAGTGTTATCATGTAGATGCTCCATAACTACTTCACTGTTACATATTTTAGGTGTTTAAACTTTTATTTCTTTCAATAACCAAGAGAGTAAATTGTGCCATTTTGAATAGAAATACTTGGTATGTTTTTTGTTAGTTCCTTAAGATAGATAATCCTGAAGTGGATTTACATGTTCTAAGATATATCCATTGATTAGTATTATCATGCCATATTTCAAAGGATCATAAAGCAACAATAATGCAATGTACTTATCATCTGTGTCTCAATGCCCCATTAGAAAAAACAAGATTATACTGTAATCCCTATTTCCTGGGTTTGGCATGAGTAGCACATGGGTTAACATATACATATATATATATATATGTATATGTATAAAGCACTTTAGAATAATTCTGGCCTAATGTAAGCACTCAGCATTAGCAATTATTCTTACTGTTTCACTATACCTTCTCTTGTTAAAGTTTTTTTCATATAAAATATTTTAAATATACAGATAGATAAAAATAAAATATTCTTGCAGTTATATGCCATATTTTATTTGATTTTTTTAAGTAAGTAAAATTTTATAGATAAACTTGAGATTCTCTATCTCCTCTACTGTCCTCCTAACATATGCTTTACCCAGAAAAAACAATTTATGAATACATCATTTGTCATCTAGATTTTAATAATTTGACCACACATCTATAAACCCATGGAATTGTTTTGCTAAATTTAAATTTTAGTGTGACATAATTAGGTATATATTATTCTGTAACTTTTTTGTTTAAAATTGATGATAGAAATTTGTTTTTACTGATAGATGTAGCTATGGTGTCTTTATTAATATAATTATTTTTCTGTTTTTCAAGTTATTCAAAATTTTTAATTATTAGAAACAAGACTGAGGCAGTGTTTGTTCTTTTTCTATTAAAATTATCTGTTAATATTTGTTAGAAATGTTGTGTAAAACTTTCTGGACTTCATAGGTTGTTTGGGGATGTTTTTTAACTATGGTTAATATTTTCTGTTGCTTCTCAAGTCAATTTTGGTAATTTCTGTTTTTCCAGTTTTGTCCGCTTTTAAATTTATTGGCACAAAATTATCTCTTAAATTTTTGCTACATTCATAATCCTGTCTCCTTTTGAATTCTGAAGATGTACAATTTCTCTTTTTTATTGGCTCAGTTTTGTTAGAGATTTGACAGTCTTGATCATGATTTCAAAAAAGGGAATTTTGTTTTTGATATATGATTTCTCCTCTTAGCTTTATTTTTTTCCTTCATTTATTTCTTTGGGTTTGGCTTTCATTTTTGTCCTAACTCCTTAAGTTAAGAGTTCACTAATCTGTAGCTTCTCTATTATAATAGTTAGGACTATCATTTTTGCTGTTGTGCTCAGGTTCTACTATGGTATATTTTTATAATCAGTTTTTAAGGTATTTATAAATTATCATTATGATTTATTCTTGACGTATATTATTTGAAAGTGTATTTTTAAATTTTCAAATGCATGAATTCATTTCCTCATTAATTTCTATCTTTAGTGTAGAATATGGTCTATATGATTGTGGTTCTTTGAAATTCATTTGTAGTTACATTATGGATAGCCTACCCATTTTTATAAGTATTCGACATGTGATTGGTGATTGTAATGTTCTGTGTCCACTAAATAAAGTTTGTTAATCATTGAAATCATCTTATGTCCTTACTAATAATTTTATCTACTTGGGATATCAATTATTGAGAGATATTTATGGTATAATCTCTCATTAGACTGATAGATTTGTCTATTTTTTCTTGTTTTTAGCCTGAATATTTTGAAACTAACTTAAAATTATTCTTGCGTGCATACAAGATTAGAATTTATGTATTTTCCTAATGAATCAAACAATTTATTATTATAAAGTGATTTTTATCTTTTGTGATTATCTTTAAATTCTTTGTCTAACACTACTGTAAATAAAACAGTTTTATTTTGTTTAGTATTTGCCTGGCATATTTTCTCTGTGCTTTTAGTTTTTACTCCTACCTTTTATAAACAGCATTATACCTGTATTAGATTTTTTTTAAAAGCTTGATAGTCTTTTCTACAAAATTGAAGAGTTTAACTTATTCACATTTATTGGTTCATTTGGATTAATTTCCATTATCTGGTTTTGTGTTCTATTTTTCTGTTTTTCAAATACTTAGTTTTCTCCTATCTTTTTAAAGTGGGTATCCTGTGTATTATGTTTATATAAAGCCTGAGGTCACTTTCATTATTGATGCCCAGTTGTAGAAAGCTTTAGTTCTAACCACTTTCCTACTGAATTACATGCTGTTGTTTCGGCTCTCTATTTTTTTCAGTTCTACAAATTAAACATTGTTTTCTATTTTCTGTCTCCTCATTCTTCTTTTCACAGACTCTGGCACTACTTTTTTTTCTTTGAAGCATATATTTATAGATAAACTCTTTAGAAAGGATATGTTATTAGTAATTTCTCTCAATTTTGGTTTGTCTCTAAATGTCTTCTGAGATAGTTTTACTTGTTAAAGGGTTTAAGATTGGTAGTTTCTTTATCTCAGCACTGTGAAAGTATTCCATAGTCTCCTGGTTTCCCTTGTTGCTATTAAGTTGGCTATCTGTTGAATCATTCTTTCAGTAAAGGCAATCTATATCATGGAGCTGATTTTTAAAATCTTGGACTTTGGTGGGCAGTTTTACTAAAGTGTGGGTGTGGATTACTGTTTATTGGGACTTCATAATCAGAGAATTAAGCATCTTAAAAATAAATTCTGGAAAATCCTCAGCCTTAGGGTTTGAATATTGCCCTTTCTTCCTCCTTATAGGAAGAAGTTAAATAAACTTCCCCCCAAGTTTATTTAATCAGTCAGGGTGTCATCTTGATTGTCATTGATAGGATCCTGTCTTTGTGGAGGGATTTCCAGTGCTACCATTAATCTCCTATTTAGATTTTTAAAATCTGTCCATATGTTCATATTTTGACATTTCATCTATTCTTTTAAAAACTCTTTATGTATTCTCTATTGAGATATAATATGAACTCATGGACTTTGGCCAAATCAGTTTCTTTTAGTTAAGTTGATTATTATACGCCCCCTCCCCCATTTGTTTTTCCTTTCTTCTTCCCTTCCTCCTTTCCTTTATGCAAATTGCTATAATTTGGCAAGTGGGAACTTTCTTACTACCCATGCCTATGATATTACTACTTTTTGGTAAAAACAGTGTTTCCCAGATCTATTCTGATTTTTCTTGTTTTAAGACATGGTGTTGGCCTGTTCTTCTTCAAGAAATCCTGGTTCCTTTAGATAAAGTATGGCATCAGTGATGAGTAGATGGGTGCTTGGTGTACATGTAAGCATTGGTGGTGGTCAGATATGCTGTTGCTTTAAGGCGGACTATATTTAAGGACTGAGTGGGAAACTTTTAGATATTAATCTTTGCAACTTAGTACGTTTCTGTACTCTGTAGTATAAAAATGAAATACAGCATGTGATTTTCTTAGCCTCTAAGATTTTTTAATTGCTACTTCAACTAGCAAGAACTTTAAAAATCATACTCGTGTGATTTTTTGTGTAGAATAAAACAATCCCCATCCAAATGTTAGTTTCACTGTTTTTAAAGTCAATAAATTATATTTCTTAAAGTTGATTTTTAATTAATTTAATATATTTATTTTAAGAAAGGTGGTATAAGAAATCCTGAATTTAGTCTTAGTCATCACATAGCTAAAAGACAGTGTTCAAGCAACTTAAGGCCCCAAAGCATTTCTTATGTATGAATAGTAGCTATGAAAACATTTTAAGGTACCATATAAATGCAAATATATTAATTAATTATGATTATATGATAATTATAATTATAACTATATGATATTATATATCATAATTATATGATAAAACCAGGTAATGTAATATTTGCTTTATTCAGTATCATGTTTCATGGTTGTTGACTTTTTAGTTTGATATGGACCATCTTAAAAGTAATCCTAATGCTTTAAGTGGTTCTACAAATTTGGGCAAGATACTCATTTTCAGATATGTATACCATTTATAAGGTGATGTATTTTTCAAAGTCTTGCTAGGCACAGTGGTCACGCCTGTAATCCTAGCTACTCCAGTAGGATTGGAAAGGTAGATTGGAAGGATTTTGGTTTGAGGCCAGCCTGGGCAAAAATTTCACAAGACCTTATTCGGTCAATAAATGCTGGGTTTGTGGTGTGTGTGCATGTCATCCCAGCTACATGGAACATATAAATAGGATCACAGGCCAGGCTGGCTGGGGCATAAGTGCAAGACCTACTGCAATAAGGGCTTGGGGTGTGTGGCTAAAGTGGTAGAGCACCTGCCTGACAAGCTCGAGGCCCTCAGTTCAAACCCCAGTCCTTTCAGTGTGTGTTTAAGTGGGATATAAGCTGACCCTATTAATAAGTGGTATTATAGTCAGTCTTGAGCATGCTATTTCTAAATGAAAATATGAACTAGTGCTCTTAGAGATACTACTATAGGCATATAGCTGTTTTTATATTTTAGTGCTAGTTAATTAATTGTGTATGGATCTTGGTAATATTGTTCTTTTTTGTGTTTTAGGTGGTCTTGGAGGCATTGGAATGGGACTTGGTCCAGGTGGACAACCTATCAGTGCCAGTCAGTTGAACATAAGTGGTGTAATGGGAAATCTAGGTCCAAGTGGTGAGCATTGTAACTTTCTTATTTCTTTTTAAATGGTACACTTTCTATATAATAAGCCTTGTATTTACTAATCTGTCATAATGTTTAGGTATCTAAATGTCTCTGTTTTAGAGATATTTAGGATATCACTTCAGTCTCAAAAGGGAATGAAGCAATGAGAGAAAAGCTAACCTGAAAAGAGGGTAGGCAAAGGTTAGAGGGCTCCTCGGGGACCAACCGTGCTATAGCTGCTAGCCTTTTAGTACTGTGGATATTGAAATGTCTTTATGGTAGAAAGAATTCTCAACATACATGTCTGAGTGTCATGCGTAGACAGTGTTTGTGGAGTGGCCAAAATGCTACTATATCATAGGTAATGTTTATTTAGGAAGATGGCTTCTGAGGTAGCTATATGGCTGCTTATTTGGTCTAACTTTTAGTTTATATTTAGAAATTGATTTTCACACTTTTTGGTGCCAGGATCCTTTATATTTAAAATTTGTTGAGAACCTCACAGTGATTTTGTTTATGTGGTTATGTTTATCAATATTTACAGTATTATAGAAAATTTAGAAACTATTTTTAAAAAGTCCTTACCTAATTAAGAGTAGCAATAATTAATCTTTAATCTTAGCTCTAAAAATTGTATTTAACATATATAACATAATATCTAACACATATTTAACATAAATATAATTTAAGGAAAATAAACTATTTCCAATAAAAGTGAGTGAGAAGATTGGCATTGTTTTTATGCCTGTCTTTGATGTTTGGTTTAACAGAAGGTGATTCTGCTATTCTGTCTTCTTCTGTATTCAGTTTGTCATGATATCAGACATCATTTAGACTCTGGAAAATTGTATCTTACACTCATGAGAGAATGAGAGTAAAACAGTCAAATGATACCGGTAGTTTTGGATGACTGAAGTAGTTTCGGTGTATTGGTTGATCAAGGTCCCCAGACCATACTTTGAGAATCACTTTTTAAATGCTATCAGATTCTTGTTTTTGTTGAGATGTTATAGTCACACTTTAAATTATGAGGGCAGTTATGATAATCATTCCTATCCAAACAGATTTTCTCCCTTATCTTTAAGCTGTCAACTCTCCTCCAATCCCCAACCACCTTCCTAACCACATACCATTTATATTCTTTAACTGTCATGTTTAGAGGAATCCTTACTTTCTGGCCTGACAACTAAATCCCTTACAGTGGCATTTCTGTGTCTACTCTGGACATATGAATGAGTACCCAGTTTTAGGTATTCTCTAATGTTGTCTTGCTTTCTCGTCTAATGTTCAGCAAATGTCTTTTTGAAGACAATTACTGTGGCATAGCACATTAAACCATCCTTCTGTATCCTGCTGATTTTCTAAGTGTTTGTTGTGGCTAGACCAATAGTATCTATTTTTCTGTAATGTCATGTTTTAGTCACAGAAGTCAGATTTACTGAAAGTACATACTGTTTATTTTATTTGAGGTATGGGAATGGATGGTCCAGGTTTTGGAGGAATGAATAGAATTGGAGGAGGTATGTATAAGCCTATGTTTTCTGCATGTACCAGTGACCGTTTGTAAGAAACTAGAAATCTTTGAGAATTCTAAGGAAAAAAAAGTCATGGTTAATTGTTGGCTTATGTCCAAAAGGCTGCTAGCAGAAATTGAGCCTGATACATACTTAAAGGGAAGGTGATGTGTTAAGAAGTAGCTATACAAGGTAGGGTGGATAAAGAGCTTTCTGGTGAGACTTAATATTTACAAAATGTACCTTTCATGTGTACAACTGACAGTCACATCTCAAAAACAATCTTTTATTTCATAGGAATTGGGTTTGGTGGTCTGGAAGCAATGAATAGCATGGGAGGATTTGGTGGAGTTGGCCGAATGGGAGGTAGGTAAATGTATACAGAAGGATGCCGTATTACATTTACTTTTCCCTATTATTAAAGTACCCCTCCCCCTTCACATAGGAATGGGTGCCATAGATGGCTTCAGAGGCAAATGGGCACTAGGGGATAAGGACAAGCATGGCAGGAATGGGGATGGTATGTGTGATATGGGAGGTAAGTTGGATAAATCACGGACTGTTTTATACTGATGACTTTTGCTGTTTTTCACTTGAGTTTAGAAATATTCCTGAATGGTTTACCATGCATTGATGTACTTGAAAAAGGGTTAATTTGTTGCACAATCTTTTCAGAGCTATACCGTGGTGCGATGACTAGTAGCATGGAACGGGAATTTGGACGTGGTGATATTGGAATAAATCGAGGCTTTGGAGATTCCTTTGGTAGACTTGGTAGGGCTGGCTGCATACTTCTTTCCTTTTTCCAGGTTATATTTTTAAACAATTGTTCTCTTCTTTTTTATGGAAAATCAGAAATTTGCAATTATTCACATAATTTATTACCTGAAGAAAACAGTTTAGGGATTTTAATGTATTAGCTGTCTTTTTCAGTATCTTAACATACTTGAATTCTATTTCCAGAAGACTTTATACTGTTCAGTTATTGTACATCTTCTGAAAGCATAGTACCTTGGAAATTGGAATCATGATTATTTAAATTAATTAGTATATTATCTTTCCATCCTTGTTTAGGCAGTGCAATGATTGGAGGGTTTGCAGGAAGAATAGGAGCTTCTAACATGGGTCCAGTAGGATCTGGAATAAGTAGGTTTAAATTTTACTAGAATTTATTCAGTAATATTTGAGTGCTTGCAAAGACTTTGCAAGAGTAGTTATTGTAGTATAGTAATACTTTGTTCTTATATATTAGTATGTCTTGGCATAATTTGAGAAACTTTGATAGTTAATGAGCTAAGCCTTTCTGTTTGATTGCTGTTTGAAATTTCTAAATTAACTGTTTGAATTTTACTTCTTTGATACTTATAAACTAACACTAGAGTATGTTTTAAATTAATCAACAAATTTAAGAACCATCTTCCCATGCAAGGAATCTGGAGATTTCTGTGATTATATGTCAGGAATAACTTGCTTTGGCACCAACCTTACTACCATTTTATTGTCAACACCAGCTATTAGTGACTAGCTTATTTCATCTTGAAACATCTTAGGACTTTTGGTAGATGCAGACATAATACTAAATTTTAGTGTAGTGGGCTAAGGTCAAAAGAGATGTTTATTACCTCTCTTCTTAAACTTTTCCTATGATAGAATCAAGAGTAGTTCTGACACTAGAGAATACTAAATCTCTCCCATCTGTTTCCACTACCACATTTTAGGCCTCATATTAAGGCTTAGCACATGCCTTAGTTTTTGGTCTCTGTTCCTTACTTGGCCATATCTGTGAACTCTCCATACTTTATTGACTTCCTTTAATTGATGAAATTTCACGAACAGGAAGTAAAGCTACTTGAACTATTCTAAGAGTGAAATCTAAAATTCTGTCAGCTGAAAACTTTTTCTTCCATCGTACCTTTCTCCTCATTTTATTCGTTTTTTCATCATCGTTTAGCATTGGTCACTTCCCTGTTAGTCATAACTTTCCTGCTCTTCCCCGTTACCTCAGTGTTTATACTTCTGTTTCCCTACTTTTATACTTGTTATTAACTGAAAACCAATTTGGAAGGTGATGTTGGTGTTTAGAATGTTCATGTATGGGATATAAAGGTGTAAGAAGGTACATTTTGAGCATGGATGTGACTAGAATAACTGAAAGGGACAGGAAATAAAGTAGGTCTGAGCTAGGAGTTAAATTTTCAAGCTTTGGCTAAAGGAGAGGGATACAAGTTCTGGGATTAAAATTTGTTTTTTTATGATTTTTAAAAATTTAGTTGATACCAAAAGAGAAATTATATGGGAAACAGAGGTGAAGATTCTGAGGTAAAAGGTAAGCTAGGATAGGAATATCATATAGGAGAGTGTGATGAGAATAACATGTATGCTAGAATGGTAATAATTTGAATTTATCGCCATATATCCTTGTCCTAATAGTTATTATTGCTTACTGTATTAGAAAATGAAAATCAGTATTAAAAACTACTATAATGTTGATAAAGTGATTGGTATTCATATGATATGTTTTATGATCACAGTATAGTTTCATAGAGGTATATATGTATGATATGTATGATGTATTTATATAGTGAATAGAATTAAGATTTCTCAGCTTGAAAAATACATACCAAATGAAATTATGTTTCTTGGAAAATTGTTTTATTGTCTATGAGAATAATTTTATGTTTATATCATCTATTTACATAAATGAATTTTTTCTCACCTTTCTCAGAATTGATTCTCTCTCTCCTTTTTCCTTCCTCCTCCTTTTTTTTCCATATGCTTCTGTTTTTGAAACAAAAACATGAAACTCCCAAATCCTCCCTGCCCTTCTTGGAAAATGCAGGTGGTGGAATGGGTGGCATGAACAGTGTGGCTGGAGGAATGGGGATGGGACTGGACCGCATGAGCTCCAGCTTTGATAGAATGGGACCGGGTATAGGAGCTATCCTGGAAAGGAGCATCGACATGGATCGAGGATTTTTATCGGGTCCCATGGGAAGCGGAATGAGAGACAGAATAGGCTCCAAAGGCAACCAGATATTTGTCAGAAATGTAAGCAAATAAATGTAGAGGACACTTAGCATTATTTTTTTCTTTGTATATATATTACTAATACCTCTTTTCCTTCTAGCTGCCTTTTGACTTGACTTGGCAGAAACTAAAAGAGAAATTCAGTCAGTGTGGTAAGTATGGCAATGACTGCAGATATGATATTTACTGTGGTAGAAAAACTTGTTTTAAACTTTTTAGCACAGCGTTTAGGTCTTCACCTCTTCCAGTGCCTATCTCTGTCTAATTCAACTTCAAATAAATGAATTGTTTTGTTGTGTTCTGACTTAGAGCAGTGCAAATTACTAGTAAATACTAAGGTTTAGAGTACAGCCTATCATTGTTTTCTGTTGATAAAGAAGTCTTCCCTGATTTTAAAAAGGTTAATGTGTCACCATCGTTTGCATTAAAAGTTGTTTTTTCCTCATGAGAAATATTAATGGTATTTACTTCCTTGCTTATAGTATAGTGCAGAGGGTTGTCAGCCTGAACCACTGAGATGCTGATATCTAGTTGATATTAAGTTAGTGTAATAGGTGAGACCCATTTGATATACTTTGTATTGCTTACAAAACACAGTGATTTTTGCTGCCAGGAATGCCTTAGACATGGGTACATTATGGTGGTTCTTCTAATTCTTTTATAAACTGTTCTTGACTGTAATTAATCAAACTTTAATTATTCCTTAGCTCTGTAGAATATTAGCTGCTTATTTTAAAAGAGAACCTTTTAAGTACCATATTTACTGTTGCTATAGAATAATTGATGAAGTTCTCACTTTTGTGTGTGTGTGATGATGGTAGAATTAGTGTGAGTCCACAAAGTAACGGATTTCTCGCTATTGCATGGAGTCTCAGAGTCTAATAGTAGGATTACATGTGCATCCTGAAATCATAGGATCCAGTAGTAGTATGATGTGCAATGATGAAAAAGGGCTAAAAGTGGTACAGTCAGCCTCTTAGAGTTAACTAAAAGCTAAAGGTATTTATCTAATTTTTTAAAGTTGTGAAGCAGATAAGTTTAGTGTTTTTCCATTAAAATTACCATAGTGGGCTACTATCAGCAATAAAATTATCTACTGGATTCTCACAATCATTTATACCACTTCTATTATATCATAATTATTTGTTCATTTTCTTCTACCCTAGATGAAGGCTCCTGAGGGCAAGAACTATCATCTTTTTATCCTAGCACCTATTATTGCCTCTGTAATAGAGTAAGAATTTAGGAAATGTTGTAAGCACTGAGAAGATTGTCATTCATTTATTCAGTTATTGATTCATTCATGAAATCTATGGTTAATATATTTTTTAGCATTCTGCGAGGCACTGTGAAGTTGACTAAAGTCAAGAACCCCAGTTTAAAGATTGTACAGTGTATGAATATGCCTAGGCTATTCTGTTTGCTCCCTTTGTTGATTGTCCTTCTATTTTGCACTAATTTAAAATTCAAGGAAGGGACACAGTATTCTTACAAAAATGTTAAAAAAACACATCAGCTAGTACGTAGTCACCACTGAGAGAATTGGTAGCCTTTGTAGTAGTACATACATCTACCAGAATGTATCAGCAACATTGCTGTGAATCCCATAGTCCACAGAGGAATGAACATGTCAGGTACTAGGGAAATGAGTAGCAGTGAAAGCAAGAATAGATCATCTCTGCTCATGTAGCTTCAGTGAAGGGTGGAAAAATGTTCAAATTAGGTAAGACATTATGTTATAAAGTAGAAATGAAGCTTAACAAGTAAAGAGCAAAGCGGGACCAGGAATGGCAGCGTGAGCAATACTGAGTTGTTCTTTATCCAGTGTAGGTAGACCTCTTTTGAAGTAAGGGATGAGCAAGGCTTGCAGCCAACCTTAGGGCTTTGGGTGGCTTGGGGGCATTGTTTTGACAGAAAGAAATAATTAAAATAACATTTTCTGAAAGGGAAAAGTATCCAAATCAACATTTTAAAAATAGTACAGTATTTTAGTCATATAAACTGGTGGTTGAATCTTTATCTTTTTACTTCAGTTTTAGCTCTTTTTCTATTGTTATATTTTAAGGTTAATCATTTTGTTTTTAATCTTCAATTCTATCATAAAAGACTTAGATTTTATATTATATCATACTTACATAATTTCTTATCTCCCCCATTTTTAATGTTGAGTTGTATTGGCGGCAAAGAAAATAAATCATAGTAATATAGAATTGAATGATCAGCACTTGCCAAATATGGGCAATATCTGGCTTGTTTGAACTGAACTATCATTTTTCTGCCACATCACTTTGTTTATAAATCTTAGAGTTCTGTTTTTTTTTTTTCCCCTTAATATGGGAAGTTTCTTTTGATCTGACATAAGCCAGTAATGGCCTTTTTGGCAGTAAAGGGCAGGGCTTTTTGTTTTCCTGAGCCCAAGATGAATAAATGTATACGCTGGCTTGCTTCTTAGAAAGGGGCTAGTGGCGCTCTCTGCATTTCCCCCAATGTTTACAGCACATGCTCCCACTGGTAAGTCCCCTTGCTAATAAAGTATGTCCAGTGGCCAATGTCCTTGATGGGGCAGTTATATAATGGGTTATATTTTCCTTAGTATGCACCATTTTCTCAGCCTTTATAATTGAGAAAGAAAATGTTTTCAGATCCCCTTAATATAACAAGATGAGAAATAAGTGAGCATAATTTCTGTTTGTCAGTTCCTTCTAATTGCAATCAATCCCCAAAGGTAATGTTTTGAGTCCAGGCTAGTAAGACACACATCATTCCTGTAGTAAAATTGATATTTCTTCTATCCTGCCTTTTGTAATTCTTCAGTGACATGCATTTTTAAGACTATTGAATATAAATAAACTGACCTATTCAGAGTTGAACCCACATGAGTTCACTGTGTGCTGACGGAGTCAAATAGGCAGTCTTTGAAACTTGCACCTTGTCTATATGCTTTAGTCATATTCTGGCCTTCTGGCTTGGTACGATGTACAACTATAACATTTTAGAATTGCCCACTTTCAATTATTCTTGCTATAACTCATGTAAACAAATACAACTTTGTTCCACAGATTTCCATTATGTAATATTTCTACTGTCTGTGCTTTTTAACTGCATAGAATGGAGGGTTATAAATTTTATTTACTAAAGTACTTACTATTTCAAGAATGACTAGTAAAGTTTAAAACAAATTAACAGTAAAAATAATGCAGTAATAGTAAAAAATAATAGGAAAATTCATTGATGAAGGAAGGCACTTTATTTATAAATGCTTAAATTTAGTCTATTTTTAGATGTGATCTTGTATCAGAATTTCCCAAAGTATACTATATAGCTGTTAATAGAGCTGGTTAAATGAAGTGGAAAGGACAAATACTTTAATAACTACTACATGTAGCAGCAATATGTTTAATCTGCAATACTGATTTCTCTTGGCATACATTTCATCCTGTACTGTTGCTAAAATGTCATTCTCATTTTTGTTTTCTTTGAATCATTCAAGATCAATAGATACTTAAGTCAATTGAGGAAGTCCTCAGGATGTGTAAAAAGGCAGGGCTGATTTTTAATCAAGTATTTGAAATTAATTCATTGTTCTGAATTATCTTTAGAAAAGAAAATATTTCAATTGCTATTTTCATACAATTAGGAAGAAATTTAGAATATGTATAATTCTTTCTGCATCTATCCTCCTGGGATATTTTATCTAACTATGAAGTATCTGCGGACCACTCTCTATAGCCTAAGTATCCAAACTGTAAAAAGGTTTGGGGATATTAGCCGAGAGATCTTGTCAGTTGCACAAACCTTGGGATCATTGTGTGGTCAGGAATTTGGAGGTCTAAGTGCTGATTCCTAGAATGAGGGGAACAGTGAACAGAGGGAAAAAAGGAAGAAAATCTTGTCTTGAACACTGGAAAGAAAGATTGTGCAACAGATAGTGACATTATGAAGATAGTGACTTACGAAGATTTCTTGCTTTTGTGAACCCTACTATTGCTTATAAACCTATGTTGGAGTACTTATATCTAGAAACCCCTCAGTTTCTAAGTAACAGTAGAAGATGAACCTCTAGTCTTAAAGCCCTTAAAAATTCAACACAAGGGCTGGGAGCATGGCCTAAGTGTTGGTAGAATACCTGCATAGCAAGTGTGGGACCCTGAGTCCAAATCCCAGTGTACCACCACACACAAAACAACTCTACAGTTTCTTTCAAAATCACTAAAGCGCTGTCATTTACCAAGGTGTGCCTTTTTAATTAAACTTGTTTTAAGCCAGCATTCAAGATACTAAGAGGACTTGGGATACTACACTGAATCTATCTTTATAGTTTTGTCTTATTTGTAAATGTGTATGTGTATATATGTATGTATGTGTGTGTGTATATATATATATGTATATATATTTTTTTCTGGTTTAATTTCATGATTTTTACTAGAAAGTAATTGCTGGGTTTTTTCTTTTTCTTTTTTTTCATTTTATCAGTTGCGGGCTGAATATTTGGATCTGCTTTTAACTACTATTATGTAATTTCTCTGGGGATTAGTTTGTTTTATAACAGACATTTAAGAACTGCCTGCCCTGAGTTACAAGATCATGGTTTTTGACTTAGTGTGACATTTATTGTCTTAAACAATTTAAGTATTATTAAAAAGATGAGCGAGTGACTACCAGTTGGTTTTAAAAAGAAATGCAATAATAGAACATGGATGAAAAAAATAAAAATAGAGAAGTGGTCCAGGATGTTGTACATACGGGATTATTCAGATCAGGGTTTCAACAGGAAGACAACCTTACTTATGCATTAGGATTAAATACTTATCCCCTCATCTGGAAAAGGCCTTTGCAATTTTTTTTTTTAAACCTTTCCCCTTCTTTCTTTTTTGTCCCTTTTTAGAGCTTGAATGTGTCTGATTGTGTGGTTTTGTTGCTAGACTAAAATTAGCCCATAGTGATTTGCCTGCTATACTATTTGAAGTTGTCTTACTTGATTTGTTTGACATGTACATCTAGAAGTGAGGGAAATACTGTGGTAAGTAGTCATACCCTAAATGTATGGCCTGTTTGGATTGGGTCACCAGTTTGCCTGAATTGTAGTTTCTCTTTATACCTGCTATTCATATGTAATTATTAATAACTCCCAGTTTTACTCTCAGAAGTATTCTGGTTTAGATGATGGATTTTTCATGGCTGCTCTCTATTTTGGTAAATGATAATGATTTGCTTCAAACTCCAGTTTCAGAGTTTTCAGTGATACTGACTGTAAAAGGAATGATTTTCTGATTTTCCTCCTCCTCCCAGAAACTTCTCTGAGGTTTTCCTTTGTCCTATTAACATCACTGTTTCTGTCTTTATCGATTAAATCTATGCTCCCTTCCATAATTTTTGGCACAATTTATTTGATGCTGTTCTTAAGACTTTGAATCCAATTTATGATATTGAATCCAAGTTGTGCTATTGAATAAATGGTTTTGTCACTGTGGTTGAAAAGTAGAGCTAGGTGGACCTTTTGTGATCTAAAAGAAACTAGACTTTTGGGAAGTTACTGTTATTTGCAGGGGACAAAGGAGTGAAGTAAGCATAAAAGAGAAAGAAGAGATTAGGGAGATGGGGTAGTGAGTAACTATTTATTCTAAAAATAATTCTGGTTAAAGGTATGTTTGTTATGAGTTATGGTGAGTTGATAGTGTTTGTACTAGCTAGCCTGATTGCTATAAAATTTCCTTATAAATTAGGAATTTAACAGAACAGGTAGGTCGTAAGCAAATTTATCCCAATTCCAACTTCGTATTTGCTTTATATGTATGTAAATGCATATCTTACATGAATTGTATTATATTCAAATATAAAATAAAAGTAGTGTTCATATGATTGTTTTTATGGAATTAATGTTGATGTTTTTGACCAAATTATTTATCACTTCATTGGCTGTGAGGAATTTCAAGCCTGTATAGTGAAATGGAACCCATTTAAACTGATTAATAATTCTGTAACTTTTCTTTTACAGGTCATGTAATGTTTGCAGAAATAAAAATGGAGAACGGAAAGTCAAAAGGCTGTGGGACAGTCAGGTTTGACTCCCCAGAATCAGCTGAAAAGGCCTGCAGGATAATGAACGGAATAAAAATCAGTGGCAGGGAAATTGATGTTCGCTTGGATCGCAACGCGTGATTTCACCACGGTGGGAACTTCCCTTCATCTGTTTTGCTGAACCTCCTAGGAAAAGTCCTGTTGTTTGTTTTTTTGTTATTTTTTTAAAAGTAATATTGTATGCTTACAAAGCTGTAAAAATGAACTTTTAAAACTCCCACCAGCTTTTGACAGTATAATGTTGAAATATACTGTGATTTTTTTTTTTTTTTGTTAATCTCAAGTTTGGGTTTCTAAAGACAGCAAGTCTGGTCATTCAGTTTAAATGAATGGTTATACTGTTTTTTTATGAAATAAGCCATTTTCTTGTTGATTTCGATATGACATAGTAGGATTTGTTTGTTCTCATTTTCCCAGCTTTTATCAACTTATTGTAAGGTAAAAGATAGGTGGTTTTTTCAAAATTTGTTTTATAATATATAATAGTACATGAAAAGAAAAGGTTCAGACATTAGGATATGATTCTGGTTGGCTTTAAAGTACTTTTCTTTGGTGATAAAGAATTACTGCAAGTAAGCTGAAGATTCTAAAGTTCAGGATTTTTATTTGATTTAAATGAAGACGTGGATGTTTGCTTCTCTGTCCCTCCCCACCATTCACAGTTTCCACATAACACTACTACTAATATCAACCGCCACAGCCCTTTACTTTATTATTTCCAATAATTCCAAGTTCATATAGAACCAATAATACAGCAAGCCCCACGTATAATGATAGGCAAACTACTCCCAGTTTTTTGTCTAGTTTCCAGCCATTAAAATGAACTGCTAAAAAAAGAAAAATAATTGAAATGTTGAGGGAGATGGTTATATAAGTGAGTCCTTTGCTGTTTACTTCTACAGGAGCTGATGCATTTGTAAACACAGTTTTAATAAACCAGGGAACACCTAGGCATAGCATATCAAACACATTGGATCCCACAATGTTAGATATAGCCATGTCTCCTTTACCTGCAGAAGGAAAGAATGTTGTTAAAGTGTACATACCACTTCTGTATCTATTAGCAATCTTCATGAGAAAGAAACACTGGATACTTTTTTGTTGTTGTTGATTAGTTTTGGAAAATTGTTATTAGAACTAAAGTCTTACTGAATTTGTATTTTTAAATTTTTCTTGGGTTAGTATTTAAAGTCTTTAACATTTATTTAATAATTATTATTTTTATTTATTAAACCATTTTTCAATAAGGTGTGTAGCTTACTCGTTGCCTTTCATTCTAATTTAACATAGTTAATTACCATTTAATGCACATTTCAGATATTAATTGGAGAATTAGATTGAAATTAATTTGCTATTAAATAGTAAACTTCCTTGAGTCACTTTATTTTTTCTTCAAAGCGTGTTACTGAGGAAATGAATATTTTTAAAGTCAGCTTGACTTCGTATATTTTAGTCAAGCATGAAGAATGGGCACTGCAGCTGCAGGGACTCACGTCTTACCTTGCCGTGCAACCAGCACACTTGCGATGGTGTCTGGTATGCTTGTTCCTGCTGCTAATAAAGTAAGGCCCATTACCGTGTCTGGAATTGCTAGTGTTTCCCCTGTGATAAACACAGATATTACAAATTACAAATCTCAAATGTTAACTCACCATTCTCTGCAGACATTTCAGATATTCCTCCCTGTTTTTTTAAAATTAAGCAAACTATAGATTTTTAAATCTACAAATGTGTTAATATTTAAGTCTTACTCTAGTGATATAACTTAATATAGTGTTTTCTTTGGGAAAGTTCGCACTTCCCTGAGAAAAACAAAACCTCTCTATTTTCTACTTGAGACTTTCTAACATATGGTTCCAGTTTGTTAATACTTCTATTAAATTTGATACCAGATCAACATTTTTCAGAAGTGTGTTTGTTCTGGAAAACAGAACCAGAGGGAAGTTAAAATAAAAAAAGGGTGGATCCATGTAACTGCTCTTTTAAAATAATAATGGAAACATGGTTTAGAGTCTTTTTTTCCTTAAAAAGAACTTAATTAGAAAGTAGTTTATTTATTGTGTGCTCACATACATTAGTACTCAAATTGAAATTGGTTATGAATTTTTGTTACTGACTTTGCTAACACTATTGATCATTCTAGGGGCTGTTCTGTGATCTGTTACTTGATTTTCTTCTCTGTTTTCCTAACATCAAAGGAGGAGTAACTGGGAAATTTGGATAGATTTAATATGCAAGCTAAGTGGATTTTTTTCATCTTCCTTATTAAAAAAAGAAAAATATTTCATTTTTTACTAGCATAGTACTCTAATACACATATTAATTTGGGAAAAGTTGGGGTCAACACATTTGAGGGGAGCAGATAGTAATTATTTAAATTTTGTGGGCTATATTCCTTGTCATACAATTCTTCTCCACCAGTGCAATATGAAAGCAGTTAGAGATGATGTATAAATGAATAGACCTGACTGATCAGTAAAAACAGGCACACAGGCAATAATTAGTTCACTTCTGATACAAGCCAACTCATGATAACCTTTGTAAGAGAAATTGTTCTTTTTTTTTTTTTTTTGTCTCTGTTTATACTTGCTTTTCCCTTTGGTAAATAAAAGATGATACCCAAACAGTAATAGTTAAACCTGAAGGTAATAGAAGCCTAAAATGAACCTTTATACCCTTAGAATCATTTATTGTCGTATTTATGTTGCCATATTTGAAGAGCAAAATCAACTATAATCTAGTTAGTGAGCTCCACTTTCCTTTTTCCCAAATACTGGCATCTTAAACTCTTATTTTTTATCATGGAATAGAATTTGGTATAGCAAGTTTATAGTGAAATCCATGTATTATAATTTAATTACTAGCATAATAGATAACGCTATGAGTTTGATTTCATTTATGATTCCTTGAATTACGCCCCAAACTGTATAATAGTGAGAATGTAGTTGTGAAATGGAACTCATAAAATCTGAATGATCTTGTTGTTATATTAATATTTAATCTCTCTGTAAATAGTACTGATCTCTAGTCTTGCTGAAAAAGAAGTGTGCTCCCTAGACCAAGATAGGCAATTTCTTCTTACGTGAAATATGTTCTCAATGTGTTATTATACTTAAAATACATACCTGTTATTGTGACCATCCAAACCAGGATGTAGGTAAATGCAGATATCCATAGTGCAGACATGAAAAAGGTTATCACAAAGTAGCCTTTCCAAAACTTTCTTCTACAATCTGGTGTTGTTAGAAAAAGTAATGTAATAATAGGAAGAGATAATACCCAAAAAATTCTTTTTAAGTCTGCTTCAGGCATATTGAAAACACTTGGTGGATCTGTTGTGGAAAAATTAAACAATTTTGAGTCTTCACAAATGGCCAATTAAGTTAGAAATGCCCATTTAGAAAGCTATATTGAAATAAATTAGCTGTATCAGTTTTTAAAAGGCTATCTAAAACATTTGAATACCTCATTACAGATATTGCTGGCAAAAAGAGACTAATTGAAACTAGGGCAGTTGGTATAAGATAGTGATACTCAGTATTTTTTGACTTAAGGCCTTAAATCTATCAAAATGTCTTGGACTATTTGCTAAATATGTTAGTGATAGTGTTTATGGAGTAAGAATTAGACATCTCTAGGTTTTCTACAATAGGGTTGTCTATAGGGACTTTTGGTTTGGGATTAGTTTACTAAATTCAGGCTTCACTACAATTCCTAGAAAGAACCTTAAGAAAATAAGAACTAGTATAGTTCCTGTTTGTAAAATTTGAGTATGTTCTTTTATTCAGTTTGTTTGAAGCTAGGACAAGCATAACAACAATATTGGAGAAAAATGATGAATTCCCACTTTGGAATTGTTTAAAGTTCATGTGCCATTCATAAAATAATGTACTCAGAACAAATCACATTACAACTAATGCTAGTAAAGTGACTCAAAAAAAAGTTTACTAGGCTTCAACCAATATTAGACAAAATTTTAGCATCATAAGAGAATTGAACTGGTTCTTTCGAATTTCTTGTTAAAAAATTTAAATTAGAGATGCATACCTCTTGTATCTTAAAGATTAGAACTCATAATTTTTATAAAAGAGGTCAAAGTCATGTTTCCATTTTAAAAGTGATAAAGTAGAATAAGTTCCCTTAGTCAATTAAAATTAGAAAGTCGTGTACACCTGCTTTTTAACAAAAGTAACTCATAAATTTATATTTCTGACCATAGCTGAATTTGACTTCATACTGAACATATTTACTGAAATGTTTGCTGCTGCTTCACATTAACATGTTTAAACTTCACCTGTTTTTTTCTTTTTTTTTTCATCTTCTTCCAGACCAACCCTTTTTCCTCAATTATAATTTTATGAGGGTGTCCCATTTTTCTCAGCCAAGATGCAAACCTGGGAGTTGTCTACCTGGCTCCTCATGGTCTCAGTGTTGCTGCCCTTGCTGATGCTTCTGTATCGTCCCACTTGTGGTCTCTTTCATCCTCACTGCTTTCTCTCTGTCTAGGCATTTAGTAAACACGTCAGCTGTTGTCAAAGCCTCTTACAGACCTCCCTGGCTCTTACCTCTTGTTTCAGTTCTGTGAAATGAACTACAACCACTAAGTTGTAGTTTTGATAATTTCCTTCCTCACAAACCTTCCAAGATTCTTACACAAGCACTTGGAACTCTTACCTTATTCATTTCTGTCCACCTTTCCTCTGCTTCCTTCATATGCCTATATTGACTGGTCTCCATTTGTGCAAGTACTTGAACAGGCCTTTTGTTAACATTGTTTCCTTGGCCTCAGTCCATAGGATATATTCTTATCTCTGCGTTATTTTTATAATAAAGATTTTTGTAGCTGTTACATTTTGGTTATTACCTATCAGGTCATTCAGTTAAAATTTACCTGTCCCACAAGGCTCAGGTTAAATGCTTTTTCTATGTTAATCCCCTGTCTAACTGTCCTTACCAAATTTTATATAGTCTGTCCCATTTGTGAACCACAGTTAGATTTTATCTCTTTATGGTACTTATGTCTTCATATGTTAGCTTCTTGTTTTTTTTGTATTTTAATACTGGAAACTCCTTGAAGGCTAGGACTTCCTCTGAATCTCCACAGTGTCTGTTAAATAAGTACATGATACTTACTAAATTGAAATGACATTCTTAGGTTTGTCTAGTGGATAAACAGTGAACAGGATATAGTTATTACCTTCAGTGACTTGACCAAGACCATGTAAACCTATGGAAAGCTGGGAGTAACCAGAATCTTCATGAAATATTCCACTGTCGGTTCTTGATTGCCGACGAATGAATGCTTGACCCTCATCTTCCCATCCCATCAGTGTCTGTTGTTCACTTCTCTCCTCCATGGCAAGACAGGGACAGCAGGGACTGCATTTCTTTATGATATATTGGCTAATTTTAACATCAAAACATAGCACCAAAACATACAATCCATATATCAAAAGCAGTAAAGCTCCTTCATACCTATAAGTTAGAGAAATTTGTGTTTAAATGAGAAACAAGTCATTCAGAGTTAACAACTTTTAGATAGTATCTTTTTGATAATCTTCTAACAAAAGTAGCATTAGAAAAATCGAAATATTCCTATATATTTTTGTTTTGCAGATTTGCTTAATTTTGGCATTATTCCAAATTTATTGATAGCCTGACAGTTTTAATATTAAAAAAGGATTATAAATTGGGCACTAGTGGCTCATGCCTGTAATCCTACCTACTCAGGAGGCAGAGATCAGGAGGATCACGGTTCAAAGCCAGCCCGGGCAAATAGTTTACAAGAGCTTATCTCAAAAGTACTCAACACAAGAAAAGGCTGGTGGAATGGCTCAAGTGGTAAAGCACCTGCCTAGCAAGTGTGAGGCCCTGAGTTCAAACCCCAGAACCACCCCCCCAAAAAAGAAAAAAAAGGATTATAAATCCATTGTCTGTGTTTTTTAGATTCCTTCTAAATATTAGATGTGAAATGCTTTGAAGATAATAATTTGGAGATTTTCAAAATTAATGAATAGTATAGACATTTTCCAACTCAGTTTTTTGACATACTACATTTCCCCAAAATAGGTAATAATTACTAAAGAATGTAATGTCTTAATTTACTTCAACTGTGTTCACTCAGATATTCTGGTAGAGAAATTTCTGGTTTAACATATTCAGAATGTTAGATTTGACCAGGGCTTTTCAGTTTGGTATACAGAGATATTTTTGTTTGTGATTTTTGTTTGTTTTTTGTGACAAGGTTTTACTCGGTAGCCCAAGTTGGCTTCCATCTCACAGTTATTCTTCGTTCCCCTCCCGAGTGCTGGGATTATAATCCATCATCACCATGCCTGGCCCCTTGTTGATGATTTTATATTCACAAGAAATCAAAGATACTCTCAAAGATCAGTGACAACATCAGAGCCCAAGAATTGTTTCCCATACTCTGGGTTCTTACATCACTGTAATTAGCTAATGCCATCACATTTGAATGTTGGATTTACTTTTCATTTCATAGACAGTGAATCGCTCTCCGCTATAGTTGAAAGTTCAGAGCGAGATCCGCATTGCCCTCATGGAGGGAACACTCATTAACTTGGATTTTTTTCCCAGTCACTGTTCCTTGTAGACAACTGCCATTCCAGAAGATCTCTATTATACTAGCTGTCTGTCTTTGGGAGACAGACTAGACATCAGGACGATTAATGTAGAAATACTCTTCCCTGCTAGATTCTAAGTTTCTTAACAGCACATATCACACAGTGCTTCTAAGTTGCAGTATTTCAGAGGAGCATCATTTACCTTGTTTTCTATTTTTTCTCATGTCCTCTAGAAGTTATTGCACAGCGTGTGTGGCTGTGCATTTTACATTTCTTTTATGATACCTAGCATGATGATAAACACCTAGGAAATATGCACCTACTGCTTATTTGAAAAGTTTGTATTTGTTCCTTAAGTCATCTGTTTTCATGTTTTTGGGCCAGCTTAGGCACAGAGAGATTACAGGGAAAACAGTTTAGTACTGGCATAGAAACATTGTTGGTTTTTAGAGGAAAAGGCTGTAATTCCCCTTGTTCAATGAGTACCAGAGAGAAATTGAAGGGATAAAGGAATTTTTACTTCCTCCATCATCTCTCTCCAATCTTTTGTGACCATGGCCACTTCTAACCAAGGCCAGGTAATCAATCACCTAGAAAATATCAACATTTGGGGCTTTAACAGAGTGGTGGACTCCAATGACTAGTGAGAGAAAATAGAAGACTATGAGCTGATCAAAAAGAAATAACAAAGTAGTGAGGTGAACCTGCCAGCAGTTAGGGTGAGGAAGTTAGCTCAGACCATTGGAACATGGGGCAGAAGTGGCAGATAATTGAGAAGTGACTGAAATAACATTTCTGTAAGAAAAGAAGTACTGCTGAGCTATCAGACTTCCTAAGTCCTGTCTGTAATACCTACCAGTAACAATTGCATTAAGCTTACCAGTAAACTTGGTTGTCAACTATTATGCCAAGCACTGCTGCTACACTAACTGCATAAGCTGCACAGTCTCTGGATAGGGGCCAACATGACAGTGTTGAAACCTGTAAAACGATAGTTTGATTTACTGTTTCCATTCCATTACAGTGTAAGTAATTCAAATACACTGCATAGGATAATACTAAAACTGTTTGTATATTTGTAGGTAAATATTGTTATGTTTTGCATATTGCTTAGAGAAAAAATAATTTTAAAGAAAAAATTGTTTCTAAACCTACATTCACTTTCATAAATTTGACCAAGACCTATTTGTGGGTTAAGTTGAATAAATGTTGTTTTTCTACTGATCAATAAATTTGATTGAACACATTACTAGTGCCTTGCTTGTTCTAGACAATAAGCAATTATTTGTAGTCTCTGTCAAGACAATAAATTTTATTGAGTACTTTTTACATACCATGTTAGATAGCAAGCCACAAGCTGCACAGATGCCAAGGAGATTATAAATTGCAGATCCTAGAATGGTGCTAATGCCTATGTCTCCTTTTGTGATAAATACACCTGCAAGCAAGATAGTAGTAGCTAAGTTAGTGTTAACTTGAAGAAGATAAAATCACTAAGTAGGAGTAAGCAAAAAGTACAGGAGCGATATTTACCTAGGAAAGCAGTAACTAATTCAGGAGCCGAGCTACCCGCTGCCATGAAAGTTGCACCTGCGACGTCCTGAGACAATCCAAGGGCTGAAGAGAAATGAAATTGTTACTATGCTGGATAAAGTGACAAATGACAGAATATGTGGAGAGCTAAATATAATAGATACCAAAGCTTTAGTTTTGCATAAAGCTAATATTGACCTAAGCTAGAAAAATAAGACAAGCAGGTTAGAAAATAGAGGAATCTAGTGTTTTGCTTTCTTTATGAATTCATTATTTAATACTTCTATAAAAAGGATGAGGCAGCCAGGAGACTATTGGATGGAACTGTGTTGTAACTCAGTATCCTGAGTGCCAAGATTTGGGCCCATTTCCAACCCTGGAAAGATTCATTTCTAGCTGTAGGCGGGAGGTAAGTAGCAAAATGAGTTCTTTAAAAAATAAGGTGGTTTGGGAATCTTAACCCAACTTGAAAAAAAAAGATAGTGGACATTAGTTTAATATCTAATAATAAAGCTGAACTGAGCTTGTTCACAAATTTGCAACATCAACTTTGTTAAAAATGAGAGGACATTACTAAAAGCCTAATAAATAAAGATTTAATATTGTATAATACAGTCTTGATTTAAAGCTTGAACCCATTTGAACTTTAGAGTAAGAAATATAAGGAAGTACTGTACTAGCACCATACTATCATTCAGTTTGTGTATATTCTCCACACTTGTAAGCTGCAAGTCCTCTGACTTCATTGATAGGCAGGATGAGAGTCTTAAATTTGTGGCCCTTTCAATGTTAGAGCTGAGAGACCTGCTGTGAAAGGGAGAAGAACCATGTTCAAGGAACAACTCAGCCTTTGCCTTGGGAATCTAGAACAAGGTTTCATCAGAAATCTAGCCAGGCTTTACTGGTAAGCTGAAAACTAGCCAGTAGAGGTAGCAGGTTAGACGTTAAATTATCTACTCTAGGCTACAAAGTTAGCGTAAGTCAAAACTAGAGTTCAGATTTCTAAGACTCTTGATGGCAATGCTTTGTTGATGTTCACTGTTTACCTACTGGCTTTTTTTTTTTGTGGTCCTAAGTTTTGAACTCAGGGCCTCCCTGTTGCTAAGCAGGTACTCTACCCCTGAGCCACACCCTGCCCTACCTACTGGTTCTTTCAGTTTTCCTTGACCTCAAACTCTTGCTGCTTGGCTCAGTCTCAGTCTCAGATGGTCAGTATTTACTTATTTTTACCTTTGGAAACCATAATCTATCTGTCTACCTCACTCTTCTCTGTTGGGACATTGACCTTTGACCTTACAGATTCTTTGTTTCTTGGTGTATCAAGTTAAATTTTACAAAACAGCTACAGTATTTCCACCTCACATGCTTTTCCAAAAACCTTTCAATTCCCTATTTGAATAAAGGAGACTGAATGAGTCTTATACCGCTTTGACCAGTAGAGGATGGGCAGCAGAGCCATGGTATTCCCAAGGCTAGGACATTGAAGGAGAAACAATTTCCTTAGCGTTTCTCTCTTGAGACATTTGCTGTAGAGCTCCAAGACACCACACAAGAAATTCTACCTTGAAACCCTCATATTGGTTTGATCCCATGAGCCAGTATGGAAATAAAGATGCCTGAGGAGTCCCTGCTCTTTCATCCTCCAAATTTTGAGTCTTCCAGCCTAAGCTCCAGATGTGAGCAAGTGAGCTTTCAGGTGATTCCATAGCCACCGTCTGACTCTTAGCTGCATGAGGGACCCTGAGCAAGAGCCATCTAACTGAGCCAGGTAAACCCAGAACTGGGAGAGGCAATTCATTAAGCAGCAATAGACAGTCACCTGGCTATCACTGATTTATTTGTTACATTTACTGAGTACCTGCTGAAATAATGCCAGATGCTTTTTTGGGCTAGGAATGTAGCAGTGAACAAAATAGTCTTGCTCTCATGGACCCTTTATTCTTGTGTCGGGGGCAAAATAGACAACCAAGACAAGCAAAAAATGTGTAATTTTAGACATAAGTAGCAAGGAGGAAACCAAGTGTCATGGGGTGGGATGAGGGTGTGGCTCAAGTCAGAGCACTTCCTTAGCAAGTGTAAGGCCCTTAGTTCAATCCCCAGTACCTCAAAAAACAAACAAGAAAAACGGCGAGTAAGGATTGAAATCTTATATTGGGTAACCAGAAAGGACTTAACTGAGAAGGTTAACTAAAGATTTTGAAAAGAGGGAGCTAGCCCCTGGTACACGCATTAAGAGTATTCCAGGCAAAATAGGTGGCTGTGAAGGTCCTGAGATGGAACTTGGTCTGTGTGTTTGAAACGAGACCAGTGTGTAACGAAGAGCATGAAGGGGAGCAACAGGTGATGGGATCGAAGGTAACAGGTACATCATGTAAGGCCTATGGATCTTAGGAAGTAAGGACTTTGGCTTTTATTCTGAAATAGATGGGAAATGCTTGGAAAGTCACCCACATACTGCTTACTGATGATACCAGTTCCAGTCATTAATTTTATTCCTTGGGTTTATTTGGTCTCCCAGTCCCAACTAGCTCCATTCTGAGCTGTTTTGCCACCTGATAAACTTTCATAAAAGTTCTTTTAGGATAATTGAGTTTATTAAACCAGGCCCTGTGAGCTATTCCTCACCATTTGCCTTTGGTAAATGGTGATACTTGAGTATCTACCTGCATTGACTAAGGAAGGGAGAGAAGTAATAGTTTGTGTGACTTACATCTCATAGCATTTCTTTCACTGCTTAGAGTGATTGTATATGTGTAAGACATGTAACGCATCACACACAGTTGGCCCTCTGTCTCCATAGGTTCCACATGCTCAGACTCAACCACTTGTGGATCAAAAATATTCCAAGAAAAAATTGTGTCTGTACTGAACACACACACTTTTTTCTTGTCATACCTTACACAATACAGTGTAACAGCTATTTACCTATAATTTATGTTGTATTAGGTATTATAAGTAATTTAGAGATGATTTAAAATATACAGAAGGGTGTGCGAAAGTTTTATGCAAATTCTATACCATTTTATATAAGGGACTTAAGCATGCTCAGAATCTGATATTCTTGGAGGGGTTCTGGAACCAGTCTCCCACTGATGCTCAGTGATGACTGTGTATGTCTTATACATATATAATCAATTTAACCAGTACATGTATACACACACACATTTCTTTTCCTACTGCCAGTTGGTCATAAAAAATTTAAATACAACAATAAGACAAAGCAGATTTCTCTGTGATTAACTTCTTTTTCATTTTAGGAATGAAGTTAGGTATATGACTCACTTTTTTTAAAATACAATTTCTATTTTATTATCCATAATTACTCGTGAGTTACATTAAATTTTAAATGATTTCTAAAGTTCTTAATACATTTCAGAGACAAATCCCTTGTAGATTATTATCAACAGGTATCTAAATTGGGTGGCATACTGAGAATCTTGTGCTCAGGGTTTGCAAATCTGATAAGGAGCTCCCACTAAAGCAACACATTAAAAAATACCTGACTGGGATTTTGATCTAATTGGTATGACTCACTTTCATAGGCATAATAATGTCATTTATCCTCAGATGTGAGTAGTGGAATTTACACTTTACAGAGGAAGAAAACAGGTCCAGGGATTGGGGCTGTGGCTCAGTGGTAGAGCACTTGCCTAGCATGTGTGAGTCTCTGGGTTTGATCCCTGGCACCCACAAACAAACAAACAAACAAACAAACAAAACAGGTCCAGGAAGTAACATAACTCAGTCACGTGGGCAGAGTAAGGATCTTAAATGTGCAGGTTCAGGCATAAACCCTGAGTCTATTGATTTTATGTTCAATGCAATTTCTAGTTCACTATAGAAATTTAATAAAAGAATGGCATATGGACGGGCCAGTTAATAGTCTGTGCATGGTTGAGTCATTTTTCCTTGCTTCATCACATGGGCACCCTCAGTGCCTCTATTCCATTCTTTACAAGGGGAAGAAACAGTTACTGGGAGTCAGGAATAGTTTGGAAGTTTTCCAGCATATTTAAGAGAACTTAAAAATTTAGTCCTCCTGCTTATTACATTGTCTTCCCAAATCAAACCAGGGCTGGATAATATGTGGAAGAAATTGGATAAGGCAATGCTTTATCTTGAAGTAATGGCCCAAACATGGTGCAACTGAAGACTGACCAATCTTCATTTCATGGTAACTGAAGAGTACGTCACTAGAAAAATTCACTTTCAAGAGAGAAAAATTAATCTATTGGGCCATTCGAGGTCAGAAGATGGGGGGCCCTTCTGAACAGCTTCCGTCTCAAAAGGCAATAGGAATAAAGCTTATTGCTATTCACTGAGCTGTAATTGAATTATGAAAGGAAAGATGCTATATAGGTGGATGAATAAAACTTCAAAGATATTTTAACAAATCATATCTTAAGATTCTAAGAATATTTTGTAAAATGCTTTATACCTTTGAACTTTATACTAGATTGCTTTGTCTTCCTTGAACTTTGGGTAGCATTTCTCTCGGCTATAGTTTATTATTAAATATAAATTATTCTGTTTTTTCCCCCTCCGTAGCAATTATTCTTTTTTCCCTCAATTACTCTAAAAGAAAAGTCACATTTCCTTCAGGGTTAGTAGAAATGTTCAAGGTGAATTTTCTTTGTAGGTTTAGCAGTACATTGTTTACAGAAATTTCAACTTCATGGTAATGAGCTGTATTAAATTCATCAGTTCTTCAAGTGTGTTCTCTTCTGTATGACAGGTTTCGAAAATTTCCTCCTTTAGGATGTAGTAGGAAGGATATTAAGCTAAAACAGACCTGAATTCTGGCCCTCCAAGAATTTGACAAGCCTCGTATTTTACCATCTGTAAAAATGGAGGGTTGGACTACACAACCATTAGGTTATCTTCTAATTTTTCAACCTTTATTCAAAAGGTAGGATATGAATTCTATGCCTTCAGAATCTATTCTACTTATTGTTAATAAATCCCATTTATAATTTAAAAAGCCAGTCCTACATTGTTGAAAATTTGGAAGATGAAAAATAGAAGAAGAGTACATCTTTGCCATTGTATTTTAGCCATTGCTACACAGTGCATATTTTTATGGT